CTCATGCTAGACTTGCCCCAGTGATCCTGAAGTGATAGACGGACACTGAGTCCCAACACCAAGGACAGGAGATGGTGGGACAAGTCCACTCCTACATGTATCCCAGGAGACATGCCGGCTCGTGTGCCCAAGGACGCGGATAAGGAAATTTATGATGGCGGTGGTGATGCCTGCCTATAATCCCAGCACTTGGGAGGCTGAGGCAGGAGGACTGCTGGGCTGTAGAGTGAGTTCGGGGTCAGCCTACACTTCACAGAGAGACACCGTCTCCAAGGAAAAAGAGCACAACGGAAATAACTCAAACGCCCATCCACCCTCAGAAGGGAATAATTGGATGGTTTAAAAAACAGAAAATGACTGAACCACGGAATAATGCAGCAGTGTCTCGTTAGCACAGGGACACCCACAGCCATTTGTCTGCTCACAGTTATAAAACTTAGGCTCCTGTAGGCGTGGATCCTCTCTGTGTCTATGGCTTCAGCTGGGGAACTCAGCAGGGCCCAGGGGTCAGCCCCAAGGTGACCCACGCTGGGCGGGCAGCTGGGGCTGGGGCTGGGAGATGAGCTGGGGGATCAGCTCCCCTGCAAGGGACTGAATGATCAGACCTCTGGGGACAGAACCCAGGGACCTCGTGGGTGCTAAGCAAGCCACCTACCACTAAGCGGCACCCCTACCACTAAGCGGCACCCCCAACCCAATCAAACATCTTCCGTGGTGAGGCAAAGACCGCAAAAGCAAGGGCGGGGCATGAGGGTCCACACCTAGAGTCCCAGCACTTGGAGGCTGAGGCAGGAGGACCACAGTGAGCTTGAGGTCAGCTGTCTGCAAAGATGGACCACACACCGACGGGGCAAGCAGGCAGACTGAGGCCTGCAAACGTGCATCCCGTTCTGTCGCCTAAAAGAGTCACAAGCTAGACTGAGTCCAGGGGCAGCAGGGGGACGGGCGTGGGTACCCAGGTGCATTACACTGGGTCACACAGACTCCCTCGAAGCGGCCACCGTGGGAAGCCTTAGGGTCGGCCACACTGCGTAACAAACGGCGACCCTGTTTCAGGGACTGCACATGGCCAGGGTTCCCCCTCCCCGACTCACCCTGCCAGCTGTGGCACCCGACACCGTGCAGTGTCTCATGTCACCAAGCACCATAGGGACCTAAGTCTCCCGGCCCTGCGGAGACCGATGTCAATCTTGCTCAGTTTCATTGGCTGGAACCAATCACGTGGCCCTGTGGTGGGCGGGGCTGGGACACGTTGGGGGGCATCTGGGAAAATGGGGGAGCCTTGCTGTCTCGGCCACTGAGGATAAATGACTGTTTTCTCGTGACACATCAAATTCAAGATGGTGCCTGCTTCGGGGTAACACAGGTAACAGGAAGAGGCCAGTGATTGGAAGTGATCTAGTTTTAGGTTTGAGCGCTAAAGGTTAAAAAAATTATTTAAATAAGTGAATGAATAGATGGACAAATAAATAAAGGAGAGGTACAGAAGCCTGCGGGCCGCAAATGGCCTCCCATGAGTACACACAGAGCTCAGAGCTGGGACCATGACTCACCCCTTCCAGGGTCCCAGCCCAGAGGGCTTAGTCCATGCAGGAACCAATCAGGCCAGCAAAGCTCTGAGGGGGCTCTGTGGAGGCCTTGTCCCTGAGGGTTACGAAGGGTGGCTCATGCAGGATGCGTAGGAGTTCAGCAGATTGCTCAGAAACACTGTGGGCTGCTGGCCACCAAGTATGCTTAAAACTGAGTCCTCCTTCAGGACTTGGTCTCAGATAAGGCTCTTCACCTGCATGTACCTTGGCTTCACATCCGGATGACCACTGAGGAAAGGCTGTGAAGGCCCAGCCCGGAAGCTCCCATCTCAGCTCCACAGCTCCACACAGGGTCAGCTTAGGCCTCTGCAGGCCTCCCGTCTCCTGTCTCCATCAGAGCCCAGCTCCTCTGGGCCCAGTCCACTTCCCTTACCCGGAAGCTATGGACTGCAACATGGTGCTCCCCAGTAACCCTCCTCACCCCTGATCTCCACCTCACTGTGCTCTGGGAAACTGACCAAAGACCCCTGTGATGGTTTAGGTGACTACAGAATGCTTCTCCCAGGAGGGTCTGCACCCCAGTTTCTGTGTGCCAGGCTTTGCCTATGTGACACCACACCCCCACCCCGCTCTGTACTGGATTTAAAGCCAGGGCCTTCCCACTTGACTACACCCCTGGCCCCTGGATTTTTTTCTTTTTTGTTTGTTTGGTTTTGGTTTTGGTTTTGTTACCGGGGATCGAACTCACAACTGCGGCTTGCAAAGCAGGCACTTATGCTGCTGAGCTAAATCCCCAGCCCTGGACTTTTTCTTTTTTTTAAATCAGTAATTGCAAGGCAGGTGCTTATGCCGCTGAGCTAAAACCCCAGCCCCGATTTTTTCTTTTTAAATCAGGAGACAGGGTCTTGCTAAATCCTAAATTACTTAGGCTGCACTTGAATTTGTGATCCTCCTGCCTCAGCCTCCCAGGGTACTGGTGCCACCTGCCCAGCTATTATAGGAGCGTACTTCATGTAGAATAGAACTTCATGCAAAGCCATGGATTTCCAGCAGTGACCTTTGGTGCTCACGTGGTAGACTTGGGAGGCTGGTCTTTGTGGCATGATTGTCACCCACTGTTCTGTGACCATATGGCCAGCTGGGTCCCGTGCTCCCCTGTGTTTCTCAGCCCCCTCCTGCTGTAGTCAGTGTGACCGGTGCTGGCCAGAGTGGGGCTCCCGAACTCATTACTTAAAACAAAACAAAACAGCAGGGCTTCTCGGGCTCTAGTGCTGTTTCTCTGTTCCGTCTTTGGTGGTGGTGGGGGGGTCCTCACTTCTCAGGAGCCCGTGTGGAGGTGAATTCCTGTTAAAGATGACTTACCCGTCTGGGAGTCCCCAGACCTCTTCTAAGAAGTGGTGACATTGTTCCCGCACTTCCTGTCCTTCCCGGGGAGCAGCTCCCGCAGCCACCACCAGCCGCCTCATTCACATCCTCCTCCTTCACCCGCCCTCCTGCCCGCCCGGGCTTTCCCCCTCTCCTATCTGTCACCTCCCCCAGTCTGGGGCAGGAGCTGGCCTGGGACCTGCTGTTCCCAGGCCAAGCCCCTATCTGTCCCTGGACAACCTCCCAGGAGGTCCCCCACCAAGAGAAAATGGGGCCTCAGTTTCCCCCACCCACGGGGAGGTGGCAGATTCGGGTTAGGATTCAGGAGATCCGAGCTCCACGTAGTAGGGCTGCGTCGGAGGGGGCGGAGCCCTGCTGCGGGGGCGGGGCCTGCTGCAGGGGGCGGGGCGAGGGGCAGGGGCGAGGGGCGCAGGCGCGCAGTGCAGCAGGGCTGCAGCCTGATTTCTGCTTTGTTCGTTCGTTTGTTTGTTTTGACAGCTTCCCGACCCTCGGACCCTCGGGCTGAGCTTCCTGCAGGGAAGGGGGCTTCTGCGCCACCTCGGGGGAACTTTGTGTGCTGAAGCAGATTTTCTTAAAAGTGCAGTTGTTAAATCAGGGTTTTCTCGTCTCCTTTTCATCTTTTTCTCTACTTTTCTCTATCCCCGAGCCCGGCTACTTATTTTCTGGGAATGACACATGGGCACGGGCTGGGGCAGGGGTTAGCTAAAAGTTATTTTTTTTTTTTTTAAAGAAAAGGCCACTTCCTAACGGCAACAACAACAAAAAGAATTGTTTTATTGTGTAGTCAGCCACCAAACTTTAAATAATTCACCACAAACCTTCATTAAGAACCTTTCCCCCCCTACCCCCTAGAGTAAACAGGCAGACAATGTGGAGTCTATGCAAACTGCTTGCAAGCCTGAGGACTTGGGGGCAGGGGCAGGCCGTGCCCGTCCCTGGCTGGACAGTGCAAGGCTCCCAGGTCCCAGGGTTAGGGAGCCCAGCGAGGGGCAGAGGGACTCCAGGCCTAGTGGGTGAGGGGCCTGGGGCTGGGTCCCACCCCACTGGAGTTCCCTCCTGCAGGACATTCGAGAAGAGAGGAGAGGAGAGGAGAAGAGAGGGGAGGGGAGAAGGGGAGGAAAGGAGAGGGGAGAGGCGAGGAGAGGGGAGGAGGTGGAGGCCAGAGCTCCTGAGGTCAGCACAGTGCTATAGAGGAAGGCTGGGCATGTCTGGGCAGAAACTTCTAGGCACTGAACAGCCTGAGATGTACAATCCTAGCCGTTCACAGCTGAGATTCTATTTTTCAGTGGGATTTCTATTCTGATAAACACATCACTGTTTCCAGTTTCTAAAAAATAAAACTGTCAGTGAAGGCAGGAGGTGAAAGATGAGGGGTGAAGGCCTTTAAGGGTGCAGCTGGGACCTGCATTTCTGTACCCTTTTCTCTTTTTCAGACAAAGTCTCACTGTGTCATATGGGCTGGCCTTGAAGTCACTCAGTAGTAGTCCAGGCTGGGCTGGAATCCTCCTGCCTCAGTCTCCTGGGTGTTGGAATCACAGGTGTGTACCACTGCGCCTGGCTCATGTGCGTATCTTTTCGGCAGCATAGCAGACAGTTCCAGAACTTCCCCTATCTCTTGTCATCTCAATAAAAGAACTGGGACTCCGTAAAGGGACTAAGCGGCATTTCCTTCATTTGGCACCCTCGGAAACACAGGGCGGTGAGCAGAGGGCTCTGTCACAGTGCGAAAGGCCAACTGCGACCATTTCTTTGCTTTGTGGGAATTGGATCCCTGGAACTGGGTCCCTGGACTGCCAGCCTCAGTTTCCCCAGTGTGACCAGCGTGACTGTCCTTGCTGTCAATCAGTCGGTTCAGGTACACGTTAGAAACCCTACCTTAGATGGGAACCGGTCCTTTGGGTCCGAGGGGCTCCTTGTCACAATGCCGTCCCCTCCCAAGGACTGGCATCTCCCCCCTCCACTGTGGTCCCGCTGGTGGGCAAATGTGTCTGAGTCTGGCACACAGACCCTGCTGCAGGGCTGGAGCGCGGACAGGCAGTGGCCAGCAGGGCCCGCCCACCCGCGGACCCTCCCACCGGGGCGGGGCCTCGGGCCCGGGCGCTTATAACGGCGCTGGGAGCAGCACCCGGAGAGCTGCAGAAGCTGCCCAGCCGCTGCTCACGGATCGAGGGACTGGGAGTGTAGGTCGGGGTTCGGGACCGAGCGCAGAGCCGCAGGGACCCAGAGACGCAAAACAAGGTGAGGGATCTGCGAGGGGACCCGAGCCAGGCCCCACATGGACACGAGTGTCCACGGGCTGCTTGTCCTCCGTGCGCGCTGGGCTCGCAGGTGTTTCCGCGGGAGGTGACAGCGTAGGTCTGACCGCGCAGCGTTTGTGGTCACGGACACCGGGACCCGCGGGAGTGGCGGGTGGGGCTGTGTCCAGAACTTTCGTGAAAAGTGGGATCTCAAGCCCGGGACGCTGGCCGGCCTCGAAGGTGGTGGTGGCGGGACACAGCCGTGTCCCCGGGAGGGACGGGACGCGGAATGGAGCGAGCTCACGGGAGACCCGACCGGGCACGGTCCCCTGGGGCCGCTCTGTCCGGGACGCCGGAGGTCGGGGACCTTTTGTCGCTCCCCTGGGCGCGGAGGTCAGTTTGGGATGTCCCTGGATCCGGGGGACGTGCCAGGACATGTCCCCGAGAGGGAGCGGGGAGGTGACTCACGCTGACGGAGACCCCGGGGGACCCGGTTGGGGCACAGCGGCCCCCAGCAGCCCCCTTCCCTCCCGCGCTGTCCCTGTCCTGCCCGGCGGCACAGTGACCTATTTGGCCGGCACAGGCTGTTCCCAGGGAAGCGGGACACAGCAGTCTCCGGTGTCCGGCGCGGCCTTGGGGAGGCGCAGCCGCACGGGGGGCCGGGCGAGCCTCGCCCGTCGGGGCGCGGAGTCCCCAGGTCCCGCAGGAGGGCGCATCCGCGGGGCTGGGGCGGGACGCTGCGCCCCCCGCGCCCCCGGGTCTCTAGCGGCGGCTGTGGCGCTGGGGTCCCCCGGCCGCTTCCTTTCTATTTCCGTCCCTCCACGTCGCGTTTCTGGGAGGACTCCAGGGCGGTTTTGTTTTCTCGTCTCGTCTATTTTTATTTCCCTGGGATCTGACTCATCCCGTGCGTTGGGCGTGGAGATAAGGTGGAGGGGCCGGGGCTCGGCGCGCCCCCGCGTGTCCGTGCGCGCGAGTGTCCGTGCGCGCGCGTGCGTGTGTGGGACTCAGCCGGAGCGCGCGGTTCTCCGCGGCCGCGGGAGTTTCGGGAGCCGCCCGCAGCCGCCCGCTCGGAGTGACGCGTTCGCGGGCCCCGGTCCCCGCCTTCTCCACTCCCCCCGCCCCATCCTCACCCCTGGTGACGCGCGACCAGAGTGGAAGAGAAGTTTTGGCGGGCGGGCGGGGAGCGGCTTTGCAGGAAACTGAGTCATCGTCAGTCCCAGCCGCTGCCCCGCCCTGTCCACGAGCCTCCGCCCCGCGCGGAATTTCCTGGAGCCCGGCGCCCCCTCGCGGCCCCTGCGCGAGGAGCAGACCCTGCTGGTGGCCGAGTGACCGCTGCTCTCAGCGGTCCTTCAGAAACACCAACGTACAGCGGTGCACAGTGGTCCATGTCTGTAATCCAGCACTCTGGGAGGCTGAGCAGGAGGATTACAGTTCAAGTCCAGCCCGTGCAGTTTAGTACCTTAACAATGTTCAACGCGAGAGAGTTGTGTTGGCCGTGGAATGTGGGACCCCAGGGCACACAAGGCTGAATTCGAATCCTGCCTGTGCCACCCTGTGAGCTGTGTGACCTTGGATAAATTAGTGTCTCTGAGCTGTGTCATCTCTCCCCTAAAAAGGAAAAGATGAGTACACCTCAACACCTGGCAAGGATGGCCAGAGGTTTGGGGGGCGGCTCTGTCTGCTACACTGGTGACCTCTTTATGGCACTGTGGACCTTGACCGGTTTTCCTGCGTGATTCAGGGGAAAGTTCCTTCATCTCTCCGAGCTCCTGCCCCTGAAGCTGGCCGTGTGGCCTGGGTGCATGTCCTCTGCAGCCCCGGGAAAACCCAGTCCCTTCCCAGGCTCCTCCTGCCTGGCAGCCTTGGGTTCAGCCCAGGCCAGGACAAGGGGCCCACACCCCCTCCGCCTGGCTTGGGCACAGCATAGGGATCAGGACAGGTGGCAGCACCAGGGCTCGGATGGCCAGGCTCGCCCTGGGTTTTCCTTGCTTCTCGGGTGGAGAAGAGGAGCCGATACACGAAGCCTCTAATTTTCTGTACCTGCAAAACAGGTTCCAGGAGGGGAGGGCTGGGGCTGAGAGGCGTCTAGACTTCTGATCACCCCATTCCGGGTGTGGCTCAGAAGGCCTGCGTTTGCCTTGCCTGGCCCAGCCCCTCCTGTCCCCGAGGCCACCACCTGATGACACCTTGGGAAAGGCCCTCAGCCAGCAGCACCTGTCAGAGCTGTCTGCAGGAGGTGGCCCAGAGCCACCAGAGCCCCAGGCAGAGAGAAACTGGAGCTGGATCGGGATTTTCTAAGGGTGTCCCGGCTTACTGTGTCCCTGCGTGTGACCTAAGGGACAGTGCTCCCATTGTTATAGAGCCCAGGAACTTAGGCGACTTGTACAGGGTGACTCTGCTCCATCAGGAAACACACAACCTCGGAACTGCCCGCTCCCAAGCCAGCTCCTTAAACTGCCCAAGGCCTCATTCATAGGCAAGGAGGAGTGGTTTCTAGTTACACAGCAAGGGTGACCTGGGCATCCACCCTGCCCCCGCCCTAGTGCTCAGGATGGAACACTGGGCTTCACTGGGCCTCACCCATGCTGGGCAATTGCTCTACCCAGCCCTTTTATTTTTCATTATGAAACAGGATCTTGCTAAGTTGCCCAGATTTGCTTCGGACATGTGCTCCTCCTGCCTCAGCCTCCTGATTAGTTGAGATTATACGCACTACCCACACCTGCCATTTTTTTTTAACTCCTAATTTTCAGGGCTAGGTGACTCCAGCTGGGCAGCAGTAGTGCTGTGTAAAGGACTGGGCCTTGCTGGGGCTACACAGCAGTCGGGTAGGGATTCAGGAGGCGGGTAGGGATTCAGGAGGCAGGCAGAGCCAGGGCCTGAACCTAATTTGGAAAGAGCCCAGAACTCTGATTAGGAAACCCTTTGGAGCTTCGGTTCCCAGGTAGCTGGGGCCTTCACACCCAGGAAGGCCTCCCAGAGGCAAGAAGGAAGCAGTCCTAGCTGATAAGGCAGGGGCTAGGCAGGTCCCTGACCCCTGCTGCTGCAGTGAGCTTGGGTCTGTGGACACAGCCTGCCCACTTGTGCAGCTCGGCTGGCTGAGCCGTCCCCCCATGTCTGTGGGGCTCCATGAGAAGAGGGTGGTAGAAATCAGCTGGAAGGGGCCACAGGTGGGAATCTGGCGGGGAGCCACCTGGCACCTGGTGACCTGTCTTGCTCCTCTCCCAGCACAGGTGTCATGTCGCAGCCACCAGGGGACACCTGCCCGGTCCCACGCAGCAGCAAGGCCTGCCGCTGTCTCTTTGGCCCTGTGGACAGCGAGCAGCTGCGCCGGGACTGTGACGCGCTCATGGCCAGCTGCCTGCAGGAGGCCCGGCAGCGGTGGAACTTCGACTTCCTCACCGAGACGCCGCTGGAGGGCGACTTCGCCTGGGAGCGAGTGCGGGGCCTGGGGATACCCAAGCTCTACCTGAGCCCAGGGTCCTGCGGCAGCGGGGGCCGGGATGACACGGGAGGAGGCGGCAGGCGGCCTAGCCCCTCCGCTGCTGCCCTGCTGCAGGGGACGATGGCTCAGGAGGACCACGTGGACCTGTCGCTGACCTGCACCCTCGTGTCTCAACCTTCCGAGCAGCCCGAGGGGTCTCTGGGGGGTCCCGGAACCTCTCAGAGCCGAAAACGGCGACAGACCAGCATGACGGGTAAGCGTGGGTACAGGAGAGGACCTGGAGGGGACCAGGACCCACAGATTCACAAGCTAAGGGCTCGCCCCTCCGATGGAGCAGAACGGCCCTGAGCGGTCGGTCGGGTGACCTACTAGAGGGCACACAGCCAGGCCATGGCGGAGACCCCTAGGTAACCTGTGCCGGGGTCAGATGCCAGGCCTGGCTCTGCGGCTTCTAAGGCGGGTCTCGTGGAGTCCTTCCAGTGGCCTCGGGTGCCTTGGGACATGCTCACCACCCTTTTAAGATCAGGGCACAGGGTACAGAGAGGGAGCAATTTGTGTGAGTCTCCCAGAAGGCTGCAAAGACTGATGCTGATAATTTTCCGACTGCCCAGTCCAGACATCACGCTCCTCCCTCCCACGTACGTCCTCCCCCCGGCCTCCCACAGCTCCTTACAAGGGTCCTGTGTCTCCCGTCCATTGCTGAATCCCCAGCACCTAGGACAGTGTCCAGCACACAGTAGGTGCTGGATAAAGAATGAACGGAACAGCTGGGCGCAGTGGCACGTGCCTGTAATCCCAGCACCTGGGGTGCTAAGGTGGGAGGATCGCCACTAGTTTGAGGCCAGCCTAGACGGTATTTCATTGAATCCTACAGTCTGCAATCCTCCTTTTGTAAGTGAGGAAACTGAGGCAGAGAGGTGAAGGGGAAACTCTCCTGGGCTCAGACCTGATGTGGGTGACTCACCCACATGACTACCGTCCCTGCGATGGCTGGAGAGCCAGGCGCAGTGCCTCAGCCTTGTCTGGGTGTGTGGGCAGCAGTGTGAGGTCCCCATCAGCCCCCTGGGTGACAGATGAGGTTCCCCGAGACCCCCACCGCAGGTGGCAGTGTGTCCCTTTGGCCCTCGTTTGTGGGGGCCGCCCGGGCCGACGCTGTTCTGTCCCCACAGATTTCTACCACTCCAAACGCCGTCGGATCTTCTGCAAGAGGAAGCCCTGATCTCCCCGGCCGGAAGCTTCGAGCTCCCAGACACGGGCGGCCAGCGGCCCGTCCACACCTCCTGCCTTTGTCCTCCACTTCGTGCGTCTTAATTATTATTTGTGTTTTAATTTAAGCTCCTCCTCATGTACATACCTGCCTGCTCCCCTACACCAACCCCAACCCAGGCTCTGGCATTAGAATTATTTAAAAACAGTTAAGCGGTAGAATGGTAGGCTTGCAGAGCGCTGGGTATTTTTATTATATGAAATGTTATTTAAAACCTTCTTTTACTTCGCTCTTCGTCCCCCATCTCCCGTGGACGGTGCAGCTGGCTTCATGTCTGCTGAACCTCCTCTGCCCTCACCCCCTGGGTGGCACTGACCTGCCCTCCAACTCAGCCCCGAGTCCCTGGAATCTGAGAAGTAAACAGATGATAGCACTTTGCAGGGGCCCAGCCATGTAGGGACATCATCACAAACTCTGGGTCTCCTCACCTCCTCTGGAGTCGGGCATGTGACCGTGAAGTGGGCACAGCCTGGGACAGACCCCCGCCCTGGCCCCAGTGCCCCCTACTCTGCCCTGTTGAAGCAGGGAAGATCAGGTCCTGTAGCAGCCCCACTCCCAGACCCCCTGTGCCACCCTCAGGGAGCCTGGCTCCCTCTCTTTACTTTTTTGGGGGGCCTCCAGCTGTCCCTCTTTCCCAGCTGGCTCTCAAGGCCTCTCTGCTGCTGTCCCCTCCCCCAAGTCCTTCATCTCCAGTACTCCGTTGGCTATGAGTGGCAGCTGTGGGCACCTGTCCCCAGACACCGAGATGTAGGGCTCCCTAGTTCTACCTCAGGTAGCACAACAGCCTAGGCTCCCCCTCTGACTCCAGGGTGCAGTCCCGGATGGCCCCCAAGAACACCCCGTCACTGTGTGTTAGGAGTGTGGGGTGGGCAGAGTGGGTCTGTCCCTGCAAGCCATAAGTGACAGTCGGTGACCATCTCTGTCCAGGCCCTCCCTCCCCACTCACTGCACTTTGAATAGCAGTTGAACAAGGAGTCAGACCAAAGTGGTGGCTGTGGGGACCACAGGAGGCGGCTGGGTGGGCAGACAGGAGCCCAGGGTGATGGTGGCTCTGTCCCCACACTGAACACTGACTTCCTTGAGGTACCAAAGCACTTAGCGCGTCTGACCCCAAACACCCTCCAGCTCCTGCGACATTCCAGCCAGGGCTATGTTCCCTCGCTCCTCAGTGTGTGACGCTGACTCCATCTACACTGTAAGCCTTTCGAGGGTAGGAACCACCCCTGCCCCGTGCTGATCTGTGTCCTAGCAGCCTTCCCACAGTCCGGGGTACACAGCTGGTGCTCAGTAAATATCTCTCAATGACTACTTACTGTGTCACTGTTGTGGTCCTTACTCTGAGAACAAATATGTGAGTGTTCTGGGGGTTGTTTGCATAGGAAATTTTAAAACTTCAGAAAGCTTAGCAAACAAAGACCTTGCGGCAAAAATCAACAAAAAACAATCTAGTCTTACATTATTGCTTGGCAGCAGTGACATATATTGGCATATGGTGACAGGATACTGACATATCCTGGTTTGTCCGGTGGTCTTTTTTTTTTCTTTTTAAGGATATATTGTAATTTAACATCATTCTTCATCTGGGAAACGTACGCTATAACCGCAATCAACCAAGCATGGTGGCCCATGCCTGTAATCTCAGCCATCTGGGAGGCTGAGACCAAGGAGCATAAATATAAACCCTAACCTAGTGGTTTAGTAAGATCCTGTCTCTATAAAAGGGCTGGGGATGTAGCTCAGTGCAGAGGGCCTAAGTTCAGTCCCCAGTACCACAAAAAATAAAACCATGAGCTCCCACTACATGCTACTGGGATGTACAGCATGAAAGACTGACAATGCTAAGTATTGGCAACGATATGGAGCAGCAGGAACTCTTGCCTCAATTACTTTTGTTGTTGTTGTTGTTTTGTTTTTGTGGTGCTTGGGTGATCGAATCCAGGGCCTCAAGCATTCTAGGCAATGCTCAACCACTGAGCCATACCACTAGTTTGGAAAACAAAGAATACCTGCTGAAGGGTGCTTATCCTCACACCCATCCTACAACTCAGTAAGTTTGTTCTTATGTAAAGTTCCTACCTAAATGACATGTCCACTAAAAGATGCAAAAAAAGTCCTAGCAACATGATTGCAGACCCAAACTAGAAATAACGGGAATTTCAACAGCAAAAGAAGAGACTTGGAATTTTTGGTATATTCAGATAGTGGATTATTATATAACATGAAAAAGAATAGGTATGGTGGTGTACCCCCATAATCCTAGCACTCTAGGAGGCTGAAGTAGGTGGTTCCCGAATTCAAGGGCAACCTAGACAACTCTGTGATTTCCTGAAACCCTGTCTCAAACTGAAAAATAAAAGGTTGGGTTGTAGCTTAGTGAGAAGACTCTGGGTTGATACCCAGTACCAGAAGAGTGCAAAAGTGGGAAGACCGTTTACTTAGCATACAAGAGGCCTAGGGTTCAAAAAGCACAAAGGACTACTACACTATAGGCATATCTGGTTGTCTAGAGATAATTAACCATCCCTGAGCTACAGTCCGAGACCAGCCTGAACTGCATAGCATGACCCTGTCTCAAAAAAAAAAAAAAAAAAAAAATTAACCATCCCAACACTTCATGGCTTAATAGCTATTTATTTGGTCCTGAGTCTGCAACTGGACCTAAAGGTACTTCTCAGGTGCTGGTAATTCCTCCACTCTGCAGGGCAAGGCTCTGACCCCTAATCTTAACCCTAATTCCCTCTGGTTCTAAATTGCACCCCACTGTGCAACTAATCAGGTCAATCTATAGATGGACTGGAGGGGGAGGAGAACACTACTCCAAAGTCCAAGTGAAAAGTGGTAGGAGGTATGAGACACAAATTGTCCTTGGTCAGCTCAGTAAATCAGAGTTGGTTCTACGAAAGGGAAGGGAAGGGAACCAGGGATGAGAGGAGACAAGGGAGAAAACAGAATGGGAAAGCAAAAAGGATCAAGATGTCCATGTGTATGTGCCAGTTCCCCCAAGACAAGTGCATTTGTTATGTCTGGCAAATGTACTCTAATAAAAAGGAGGAGGAAGAAGAAATTGTCTCAGATCACAGAGAATGCCGCAGTAGGTCATTTGATCACTTTACAATCCTATAGGTCTCTGAGTTTTTGCAGGGAATGTGCTTATAAACCATTTGTGATCCCCATTCCTGATATGAATTGGAAAGCAACTGTCTTTCGTTGCTGAGACAAAATACCGGCCACTCAAAATGAAGGAAGGAAAGGTTTATTTAGCTCACAGCTTGTGGAGGTTCCAGTCCCTAATCAGCTGGCTCCGAGGCAGGGTAGCATAGCAGAAGACAGCAAAAGAGCAAAAAGGAGGGAACAGCAAGCCTCTTCTCTCTTACATTGTAAGCAGGCTACACCCCTCCGGTAGGTGTAGCTCTCACAAAATCTCCCTGCCCTCCTCTTGCACAGGCTGAGGATGTTTACAAAGTAAGGACCTTGACCCCCTGCTGAATCACTTAAACTTCTGACCTCAAATTGACACAACTGACAATATCCTAGAGCGGTAAGGGCATGTCCTCTCCACCCCAGGATGCAGAGCTGCTGACTTACTTAGTTAAGCTGCTAGACTTCTCAAACTGATGCTGATAGCAACTATTTGTCATAGTCAGAGGCTGTGTAGACTATTCTAGAAAAGCCTAGAAAAAGTCTAGAATTATGACAACTCTAGCAATGTGACTTCCATAAAACGGAGATTTGAAGACATCCACATTCTGAGAGCTTCTGAGGGAATCCCTTTCCTCTGCAAAGCTGCCTGAAATGTGGTGTTGCTGATGGGTGAGATAATTTTAGAAACTTCTATTTGGTCCCTGATGTGGTTTATATTATATGTCCCCCCACAAAGTCTCATGCACTTAGATGGGGGCTTAGGGAGGTGATGGGATCACGGGGGCTGGATAGTATTCAAAAGCCGATTTGTCCACTGATAGTTTGTAGCCAAATGTGATGTTAGGAGGTGAAGCCTGATTGGAGGAAGTGGGCCCCTGGGGGCGTGGCCTGGAAGGGTATACACACACACACACACACACACACACACACACACACATCCCTTCTCTCCCTTGATCCTTCTCTACTTCATGTTGCTGTGTCTCAAGCTCGTTCTCCTCCGCTACACCACCCTGGCTTGGAGCCTGCCCACTATGAACTGAAACCTCTACAAACTGTGAGCCATGTCATAGGCTGTCAGCCTCCTGTGTCAAGATGTAAGCACCGGTTAGGCAGTATGTGAAGATCGGCTGCAGATGTCTGCCAGGATGTTAATCCTGGGTCAGAGACAGAACCCACCACCAATCCCTCCTTATCTACCCTGTAGCCTACATCTCCCCCAGCCCCAACCCTCCCCTCCTGTGTTTCCCTGTTCCAGACAGATGGATACCTTTTTTGGTGAATTATTTCCTCTGATAGCAGGGACTGTACTTACTAACTTGGGCAGTACTAAGTCCTGACCCTAAGTACTGGTCTAGAGCGGGCATGGACAAACCACAGTTCCATGGATCTGCTGAAACAGGCAGCTGGTTATCTACTATTACTTTGCAATATTCTTTTTTCACTACTGTTTTTTAAGACTGAGTCTCAGTAGCCTAGTTAGGCCTCAAACTCCTGCTTCAACTCCTGGGGGATATTCCTGCCTTAGCCTCAGAATGCTGGGATTACAGGTGTGCACCACCAGGCACAGATCCTGGGGAAGGCGAGCGTGACCTCGGGAAGCCTCCACTCAGGCGGTGGAGCACCCTCATCCCCCCCAGGCTGGGAGCTGCGGAATACTCCATCCGGGTCTCTATACTCGGCTCTGTCCCTGCGGAGGTCCTGAACCTGCGACAGGCGGCCCGCTGGGCTCCAGCACCTTGACAATCAGATGCAGAGCATCCTGCCCTGGGGCCTTGGAGAGATGAAGATCTCTTGGAATGCTGTTCTGGAATTCCTGTCTCCCTGTGCAGCGCGACCTTTCTTCAAGGCTTCTAACAGTCAGCTAAAGTCAGCCCACGCCACTGTCCTTAACTGTCAGGGTCGCACCCATCCGGGAGCCAGCGCTGCTCCCCCCAGGAGCTCGGCCCAGGCCTCACCTCGGTCCGCCGCGCGGGGTGGGGGTGGTCCTGGACACTGAGACACTGTGCCCTCGCCATCTCCTCGCAGCCGGCACCGTGTCCTGAGCCTGATCTGCACCATAAGTCCGTCCTGACCTCTGCCCTTTCCAGTACCCATTGTTTTGTTTCATTTCCCTCCAAAAAAAAAAAAAAAAAAAAAAAAAAAAACAGCAGGAGGCAGGGGCGCATGCGCAGTGGCTTCCCGCGGCGGCACCGCCCCGGCCGGGGAAATCCCCGGATGCAGAGGGCAGGCGCGGGGAGCCGCTCCCGACGCCCCGGTGACGGTGACGGTGACGCGGACGCGGCTGCCACCTGCCCGGCCTGGCCGGCGCTCGTGGGGCGCTTCCGGGACGGAGCCGGTCTTTGCCGGTTTGGGGCGCAGCCGGGGGCTGGGCAGCTGTTTAATAAGCACCCATGAGGAGAATGAAGGATTCCGCGCGCTGCGGCCTGCGTCTCCCGCCCGAGCCAGCGCCTGTCTCCCGGGCCCCGCCGCGGCGCTCGCAGCCCCAGGTCCCGGTCACCCGTGGCCCCTTCTGAGTGTCGCGTGGACGATCGCTCGCTTGAGCTTGTGCATTGATTCCTCACTGCAGACCTGCCACGCGGGCACCGTGGTCACCGCCCATCGGACGAGGCAGGCAGAAAGCGGAAGCGCCTGGGGGCAGCGCTGGAGAAGGGGCTCCCCGTGCCCCACCGGGTCTCTGATGTAACCCAGGTTTTCTCAATCTTCCGGACGGCGCCCCACAAGTGCAGCGCTGGTCTCCTGCATCCCCGCTGCCATCCCGAGCTGCTGCTGGACATCTGGGAGCTGGAGCCAGGGACCCCCGGATCTCCTCGCCTGGGCCCTAGCTCTCATCATTGCACCCCAGAACAGAGTGGTTTGCTTCAGGCTTTAGCAGCACAAAGCCTGCACATCGAGCTGCAGCCTCAGCCGGTTTTTATTTTGAGACAGGGTCTTACTAAGTGGCTCAGGCTAACCTCAAACTGCAATCCTCCTGCCTCAGCCTACCAGAATGCTGGGGTTACCTGGCATTTATCACCACACCTGGCTATAAAATTTCATTTCCGAGTTTGGTGTATTTAAGTTCAGCCACACCGTATTTTAAAATTAGTCCCCACCATTTCCTAAAGCCCCAGATCTAACTTGCTTCGTGGTCCACTTCTTTTTTGTTAGAGACAGGGTCTCACTATGCAGTCCAGGCTGGCCTTGAACTCACTCTGTATCCCAGGCTGATGTCAAACTTTCAGTGACTGTCCTGCCTCAGCCTCCCAAGGCTGGAGTGACGGACGTGCCCCAGTCTACCCGGCTAGTTCTCTTCATAGCAGTCCTCACTGTGGGACACGTTCTCACAGACATTTTTCCTCTTGCAGTCTCAGAGGTTAGCACAGTGATCAGCGCACAGCAGTTAATGCTCGGCAAATATTTGTTGGAACAAATGTCTTCCTTTCGTCTCCTAACTCTCTTTGTATCAGTTTCCTCCTCTGAAGAAAAGGGGATGATTTGTTATCAAAGTATCTATCTGCTTAGAGATTAATCTTACTGTCTCAGGCCCGATGTTGTGCTCCTGTAGTCCCAACTCCGTGGGAGGCTGAGGCAGGAGGATCTGCAGATTCAAAGGCAGCCTGGACTGCATAGCAAGACCTGATCTTAACAACAGCAATAATTATTTTGCAGCAAAATCAAACAACATATAACTTCAGGATTTTTAAAAATGCTTGAAACTTGGAGCCACCTGGAATGACATTTCCACCTGGCCTAACCCACTCATCCGAGTCACTGGGACCATCTTTCCTCCGCTGTTTAGAAATGTTACCTTTCTCCCACTCACTTCCCACCCGCATTGGAATCTGTCCCCCTCTGTTCTTCATGATGTCCCGGGACCAGGCTAGCAATGTCCGTGACACTGCCCGAGAGGGAGGGAGGACCACAGAGGGAAGGTGCCTGCGTGCCCCGGAACGCGCAGGCCAGCTTCACCCAGAAGCTGGGGAGGGGACCCCAGGGCCCCGAGCTCTGGCTTGGTCCCGAAGCCTAGTGGCACTCGCGCCCCTTCCGGCCCCGTGGCCCCAGGTCCCAGCCTGCAGGACGGGTCCACGGGGTGGGCGCACAGGGTGAGGCTGTGCAGGGGGGGCCGGGCCCCTCTGACAGGAAGTGGCTCAGATGAGCACAGCGATTAGCTGGCCGTGCGGAAGGGCGATTGGGCAAGAGAGCCAGGAGGCTATAACCGTCCTGGGCGCGTGGCTCGGTTCGGCTGCTGTCGCTGTGCCAGGGTCCGGAGCCCGGGCTGTGCCTGGGAGCCGCTGCCCACTGGGACCCACCCTGGGGATGCCAGGTTTGTCTGGAGGGTGGGAGGGCGGGCACAGGGCAGAGGCTGAGGCAGGAGGGTGTCTGTGCCCACAACAGTGGGTGAGCCTGTGAATCCCTGGCACCTTTAGCCTCAGTGTCTCAGTGAGAGAGTGCAGGGGCAGGTGAGGAGAGTCAGCGTGGCCCTCAGCGGTGTCTTGGGGCCCCCGGCTTGGGCGGCGTGCTGGTCCCGCTGCTCTGGGACACAGAGCGATAGGAGACCCGAGACACCTGAGGCTCCCGTGCTGTGACAGCACTGTACCGTCTCTGCCTCCTGAGTGTCTCTGTCTCCGCCTGCTGATGTTGGCTATGGACTTCGTGGGACCTCTTAGGCGGGGGACATGGGGTGAAGTTGTGGGCTGAGGGACATAAGGGTCCTCTGGGATTTGTGGAGGGATGAGGGGAGTCCCACTGGCCAGCTCCAGCATGATGCTGTGTATCACTACAGTACAGCAGACCTTGGCACAGGCCAAGTGCCACGGTGGGGGTGTCAGTGGCTGAGAGCCCTGACACGGGGAGAGGGAAGAGGGGGACAGCGAGAGGGGCGTGTGTGAACCTGCAAATGTGTGCACAGGCAAGTGTGGAGCAACCAGGGGACGTCCTGTCCCCAACTCTGGGTGGGCATGCCTGGCCTTAGGGGGGGGCACTGACTGCCTTTAGGGCTCTGTGATGACCAGACCTGCACGTCCTGGGGAGCACGGTCCTGGTCAACGGTTATGGCCCTGAGGTAGGGCTGGCCGTGGGGACCTTTGCACTGCCTGTCCCCAGCCCCTGACAAGTGGGGGAGAGGGTGGGAGCCAAAGAGGCAGCGGGGAAACAGGCACAGCGGGGACCCTGCCTCATACCAGCCAGCGCAGCCCGCCTGTCTGTGTCTGGCCCTCGATGTCCTGGTCCCTCCCGTGGGGCTCCCCAGGGTGACCACCTCAGTTCCACAAGCGTCAAGCCTGGGCAAGTCACTGCCTTTCGGGGCCTCCCTCGGTTTCCCCATCGTCCAGTGGGGAACCCTCATGTCTGTATGGGACCTGGCTCTTCCATGACACAAAGGGAATCCCTCCCTTTCCATGGCCTCACCGCTGCCTCTGTTTACCCGGATGTCACAGATTGCCTTGGCCTGGATTCTCCCTCTGGGCAGCAAATCTTCACTCAGCACCTGCTGAGTCCCGGAGGACTCAGATGCAGGGAAGGCTTGGGCCGCACTGCACAGGCTCTGCCCTGTGTCTGGGGACTGCGACAAGGCGGCCCCTCGGCAGGTCCTCAGTGCTTTCCGAATGTGGGGGGACAGGGGAGAGCGGACCTCAACATCACCATCACTGTCTCCCTGGGCCACCAGGGAGGCGCCTGGTGAGCGGGATTATTGTTTTATCTTGAGACAGAGCCACCCTGGGTTGTCCAGGCTGAGCTCAACCCTCCTGCCTCAGCCTCTCAGAGTACTTACTGCATGCCCGGCTTCAGGCGCCTTTTAAAGACCAGGAAATTCCCCAATGTGACCTCCCACACCTAGGATATTCCCCGCTGTCATTTCCCTGGGTATCCCCCGATGTCCCTGTCCCTACTCTTTTTTTCTGAAAGGGTCCTGAAGCTGGCACCGACCCCAGGAGCCAGAGAGTGTCTGGTCAAGTCCTGCAGCCCAGAGTCATCTTAAATCGCCTCTGTCCTCCATCCGGCCCGGGACAGCAGAGAGGATGTACCGCAAAGGCCGGAAGCTGGGCTCCAGCCGCCGGCGGCAGATGAGAGAGCCAGCCGATGGCCAGGACGCCCTGGGGGAGCCAGGGCCCGAGTCGTGGTCCTCAGAGGCTGAGACAGAGCTGCAGATCTTCTTCCGGGACTGCGGTGCCATGGACAGAGGCTTTGTCACCCGCGAGGACCTTGCGGTGAGTTTGAGGCCCCTGTTTCTTCTCTGTGAAGCTCCTGGGACCCTGTCCCTGCCAGCCAGCGCCCGCCTGCCCTGGCCCCCTTTTCTTGTCTAAATTTGTTTTTAGAATCTGCTAGGGATTTGTCTACACCAACATGGAAATGACTGACAGTTTCACCTGCATCCCTTTCCTCCCAAAGGAAAGGTCCTTTGTTGGAACTTTCAGCCTTTGGGCAGAGAAGTCCACCTTGGGGAACAGTTGGAACCCTGGATGGGGCGTGGGCTGTAGCTCAGCGGTTCAGCGCCTGCCTGCAAGCTCAAGGTTCTGAGTTCAAGTCTCAGAGCCAAAAAAAAAAAAAAGCCCCCAAAATCCTAGAAATCAAACCAGGTTGATGACGATATGAGCTTGACGAAGCATATATCAGGCTTGGCCAGGTGTGGGGCTGCACATCAAAATCTTTGCCCCCCAGCAGACTGAGGCAGGAGGACTACAGGTTTGAGCCCAGCCTGGGAAATTTAGAGACTTAGTGAGATGCTGTCTTGAAATAATACTAGGCTGGGGTCGAACTTCCAACGATCCTCTTGCCTCATCCTCCTGAGTGCTGGGATTACAGGCATGAGACACCATGCCCGGCTCAAGGCTCTGGATTTAATCTCTAGCACTGAAACAAAAAAATTAACAGCTATGATTGTATCTCTGATAAGGAGTCCATGAGACCTGGGCCTAGACCACACTGCACAGTTTTCCTTTGTTTCCAATGGTTGCAGAGAGGCCTGGGTGGGGCAGCAGCTGTCTCCCCCTGCTGAGGCTCCAGGCTCATTGTTCTGTCCTTTTCCCATCAAAACTGACCCCGGAGTCTCTGCAGACCGAGGCGAAGTGTGAAGAGCTGATAGAAAGACACCCAGGGTCTCCAGACTGGCCTTGATCTCCCTTGGTAGCCCAGGCTGGCCTCAAACTCACAGTGATCCTCCTGCCTCAGCCTCCCGAGTGCTGGGATCATAAGTGTGTGTCACCACACCCGGTTCAGGTTGGACTTTTAAAACCTCTGTAACTTGCACTTCTATTGAGCTGTCCCGTTTCTCCAAGGTCCAAAGGGGACCTGCCATGGGAGACGTCAAGTGTTAAGATGGGAACCATCCTGGGCGCACCGGCACAAGTCACCCTACCTGTGTCACAAGGTTAGGGAACAAAGCCCAAGGCACTCTTTCCAGCACATGTCACTTCTAAGTTTGAGTCACTTCCTTTCTTCTTGAGGTCCCTAATCTTTCTGCCAGGAAGTGGCTTCTTATCACACGGTTCCAGACCAGCTTCCTGAGAGAGCTTTACAGCACTGGCTCTCGGGGGCTGGGGATTTAGCTCAGCGGCATAAGCACCTGCCTTGCAAGCAGGCAGTCGTGAGTTCGATCCCCGGTACCGATAAAAATGAAAAAGACAAAAAAAAAAAAAAAATATTATAGCACTGGCTCTCAGGGTGTCCCTTAGAGTGGGCTCATCACACCTGGTCAAGTGAGTCAGTCTATGAAGTGACATGCAAGTACCTGGCGAGCGTGGAGGTGCATGCCTGTAATCCCAGAACTCAGGAGGCTGAAGCAGGAGGATCTCTGTGCATTCGAGGCCAGCTTGGGCTCCATAGTAAGACTGAATCAACCCCTCCCACTCAAATGTTTCAATTTAATTTAACCAAGTTTAATCTACTAAACTGAGGGTTCTCATCTGCTTATTGAAGTAGAAGAAGAAAAAGCAGCATAACCGTGTTCCTAATGCCGCAGTAACCACGCGTGGTTTCTGCAGCTGCTCTCCTGTCTGCCTGTGGGCCCCAGAGCCCCAGGAGTCCTCACCAGCTTGACTGAAGGTCGCTGGTGTCGGTCCGGAACCACAGACCAGCGCAAGAGTCAGGAGCGCCTAGAACCCCAGATGGCCCTTTTGCTCAGGGCGTTGAGGTCCTCGAGCTTTGTTGACGACAGGAGCTGTGACCTGCAGACTCCAGCAGGGCCCTGGAGCCATCTGAGGTGGGCAGAGCCTGTCTGGCTAGAAACTGAAAAGCTGTGGTTATTTCTGCGCTGATCTTCCCGTCTTTCCTTCTTTCTGTTCTTGGTACTGGCGAAGGACCAAGGCTAGCGCTTGGGCTCTAAGTTGCGCCAGGCCCCGTGTAACTGTTAGTATCAGAACAGAGGAGAGGAGAACCCCTGCTAGCGTGGAGGGTGTAACTGCTTCGGGAGAGTTTTCTGGCACGAGACCAGAAATAGGTGCGGTGGAAGCTGCTAGAAATCGCCAGCGTGGAGCAAGCAATTCCAGAAAGACTGATCTTCATAGAATTTGTAAGTGTAGCCTGGGAAAGACAACACAACTCTTCTGATTTGACAGTTGTTCCCGTGATGCCCGTAGGGCAGCACTGAGGTACTTAATTAGACAAAGAGCAGCCAGGCACGGGGCCACAGGCTTGGGAGGGTTGTTGTACATTCAAGCCCAGCCTGGACTACACAGCGAGACCCTGTCTCAAAAACAATCATTAAAAAATGGGCTGGGGATCTAGCATGAGATCGTGAATTCTATCCTGGCACACACACACACACACACACAAGCCACAAAAAATATGTAGAGGCAACCTATGTTACCCAGCAGTTTTGCTGGGTCCGACAGTCAATTTGTAAACCCTGGCTGAAATTCTAAGACCAAGTTTATCTGTCAATCTACCTGTCTATCTGTCTATCTGTGTGCCTTTCTATCTATCTATCATCTAGTTTACTTTTTTGAAACAAAGTGTTGCTATGCAGCCCAAGGTGGCCTAGTACTCATGGTGATCCTCCTGCCTCTGCCTCCTGAGGGCTGGGATTAGAGGTGTGCGCCACCATGCCCAGCTTAAACCAAAATTCTTAAACAGGTCGGATTTTTCCAATAACCCACTTTAGTTCTGCTACCCTGGCTTTACATTTTTACTGAGCTCATAGGTACTGTGTGAAGGATTTTTTTAAAAAAAGTTGTAGCAGGGAGTTGAGGATTTAGCTCAGCGGCGTAAGCGCCTGCCTTGCAAGCAGGCAGTCTCAAGTTCCATCCCCGGTACCGATTTAAAAAAAAAAAAAAAGTTGTAGCAGTCGTGGGTTCGATTCCCGGTACCAATAAAAAGGAAAAAGACAAAAAAAAAAAAAAAAAAAAGTTGTAGGGAGGACAATGCACATTGTTGCTTTGAGATTTTGTTGTAGTTTTCTTCTTCTTCTTCTTCTTCTCCTCCTCCTCCTCCTCCTCCTCCTCCTCCTCCTCCTTCTTCTTTTCTTTCTTTTTATCTTTGAATAAAATGGATTTGAAAAGAAAGGAAAAAGTTGTGGCACATTTAAAACATTAGAATTTCAGCCTTACTTTCTGTTCCTTTAAAGGAACATTGGCTTCACATAAGCACGTATTTTCCTCTGTCAATCCACAGGACAGACCACCCAGGGAGGGCAATATTTCAGTCACAGAGTTACAGATTTTTCTCAATTACAGACACAGGAAGTTTCTTTCCTCGTTTCTACAGTTCTGCAGGTCAAAAGGAAACGTGAAAGCCCTCCAGCCCGCACCTCAAGGGCTGCTCTCCTCTCCTGCAGGTTGCAACTCTCAACCAATAAGGTCACACGTAGAAAGGCAAGCAAACAACAAAACAGATTAGCAAGCTGAATGTTCTGTTATCTCCCCTCAGCCAGGCAGGCCTCTGTTTCCACAGTGCATCCTAAGTGGACCATGAAATCGAATTTCTTATTGTCACCCCCACCAATCAGAATAACTCGGCCGTGTACAACGGAAATTAAAAACAAAATCAGCCACAGAGAGAGAGAGAGAAATAAAATCAGTAAATTCGAAGTTCTATTGCATTTGGGAATGCTGCTGAGAGTCCAGATAAAAGATACCCTGGCTCAAAGAGCCCACAAGAGCTGGGCAGGAGCAGCATGGTGGTTCTCACCCTGCATCTCAGGCCTCGGGGAGGCTGAAGCAGGAGGATCACAGATTCAAACCCAGCCTGGGCAACTTAATGATTTAGCAAGACCCTGTCTCAAAATGAAAACTAAAAAGGGCTGGGGATAGAACTCAGCACAGAGGTCCGAGGTTCGATCCCCAGCTACACTAGGCACAATCACCCAGGCAAGTCTGCAGACCAGGGACCTCCACTGAGAATCAAAGAATAATTCCAAGGCTGGGGATATAGCTCAGCAATACAAGCAACTAGCTGGCAAGCTTGAGATCATAAATTTGACCCCTGGTATGCTCCTCCAAAAAAGGAAATAATTTCAAAGCCAGGTGTGGTGGCCCACACCTGGAATCCCAGCACTCAGGAGGCTGAGGCAGGAGGACGGATGCCAATTCAAGACCAGCCTGGGCTACAAAGTGAGCTAAAGGCCAGCCTGAACTGCATAGTGAGAGCCTGTCTCAAAAAGACAAAATAAATAAATAAATCCAAAAACCTGTAGACAACCATAAACAAACCTAAGATCCAGGAAACCAGGCTGTTAGCAAAAAGATTAGGATCAGATGCTGAGACAGACATGTGAAAGCTTGACCCTGCCCAACCGGCCGTGCCTTTCTGGAGTTATCGCTCCATTAGACAAAATCACTCACATGGCTTCTGGCCAGGATGGACGATGACTGTCCCTCTGTCCAGCCTGGGTCTTTTCAGCAGTCCTGAGAAATGCCATTCTACAGTCAGGCCGGTCCCCTGTGCAATGCTCGCAGGGTTCACTGTCTGCCTTGATGGTTTCTTTTCTTTTTGTTTTTGTTTTTCAAGATAGGAGCTCACTAGGTAGCCCAGGCTGGCCTCTGCCTTTTGGCGATCCTCCTGCCTCAGCCTCCCAGGCACTGGAATGGCAAGCGCGCGGCACCACACCTAGCTAGAATCGGAACCTGGGGAGAAGGAAATTAGGGGGGTGGGTGCCCCAGAGCCTCCACTGTGTGTTCTGCTCCCCAACCCCGCTTCCTTCCAGGTGGCCAAGTTCCACTTCCTGGGCATCGAGGAGGAGCCGCAGATGATCTTCGATTGGGTGGACACAGAGCGGAAGGGGCGCCTGTCCCTGGAGGAGTTCAGCTCCGGGCTCAGTACGTCTGCAGGGACCCCAGCACCCCTTCCTTGTCCTGTAAAGTGAGGTGGCCCTCGAGCAGACCCAGGGCCGTGTGAGCGTGGCTCTGTGTTCACGCCATAGGCACAGGGATGCTTCTTCCTCAGGATGGGGCAGTGCCCGGCCACACTCGCACCCCTCTGTCCCCCCAGGAAACATCTTTGGCTCCAGCCTGAGCACCCACGGGCTCCGCAGGAGGCGGCCCCCGCCCTCCCAGCGGGTGTCTGTGACCTCAGGTCTCCCAGCCCTGGAGGAGGCCAGTGCCGAGGAGAGGGAGGTGTTCCTCACCCTCCTGGGACAGCCGGGGATCGGCAGCTCGCTTCCCGAGTAAGGCCAAGCCGTGGGGACGTCACGGGGCACAGCAGCTGCTAGCTGTCCTGGACTCGGGCATGTGGGGCCCTCGGAGAAGGGGCTGTGCCTGGAGGGGCCCCCGGCTCCACACGGGTCTTGGAGAGGGAGCCCTCATGCCCTTGGGTTCTGTCCCCATGGGGCAGGATCTGTACCCAGCTCAAGCAGAGCAGGAGTCTTCTGGCAGCTGGGCCTGGCATGGCCCCAGGCACCCATCTTCCTGACTCAGTTAAATCTGTAGGGAAGCTGGGTTTATGCAGTGTGCCAGCCCCTGAGCTGACATGTCCCCTAGGCAAGTCTCATGTCCCCAGATGCCCTTGCCAGGCGGTGTCAGCCTCCCCAGTTCACTGGGCCACCCAGAGAGGGCACAGGCCTGGTCAAAGAGCACCCCACTTGGGTGGGAAGAGTGGCTACAGCAGGGAGACAGGAACGGGGCTCAGGAGTGATGGACCAGGACTACCCAGGAAGGGCTGCTGGGTCGGGGTCTATGGGGTTGTGAGGCCCACATGCCCGAGTTTGTGTCACCATTAAAGCCAAGGTGCGGGCACCCTGGTGTCCCAGCCCCGGCGTCCCATCTTGGGGTGGGGGTGGGGTTCCTTCCCAGGCAGACAGAGGAGATCTGGCAACTGTGGAGGAAACTGAGGCAGGAGGAGCCCCACCTGGTGGGCAACCTAGAGGGCTTTCTGGCCAAGATGAGCAGCCGCCTGCAGGAGGCCCGGGCAGACAAGGAGACCCTGGAGCAGACCCTGAGGAAGTGAGTCGGAGGCCACTGTGTCCCCTGCCATGGGGTTGGTGCCCCCAGGGGGGACCAGGCTTGAACTCCACACCCAGTGTGGCAGAGGACAGAGTGGGTCCTCCAGCTCCAGGGCCAGTGGGCACCTATGTCACAGTGTGTGGGTGGCCAGGGCACAGCCCTTGCCAGGGCCTGAGTTACAGGGACAGGAATAGCATTCAGAGCGGCCCCCACCCAGCCCAGAGGTGCCAAGGGGCCTGCCGGAAGCCCTCCCTGTCTCCTGCAGGTGCAACTCCGACCACCGCCGCAAGCTGCAGCAGCTGTTCGAGGAGACGGAGCAGCAGATCCAGCGGCAGAAGCAGCAGCTGCAGGCCCAGGTGGGCGCCTCACTTGCCTGGCACCTGCGGCTGAGCAGCGGCCTGGAAGCTGCTGGGCCCTCGGGCACCCCAGAGCCATGGGTGGGCGAGGGAGCCCCGGCTGGTTCCTGCCCCTGCTGGGTCTCACCTCCCCGAGGGGCTGCTTCTGCTCACTGGCCTTGCTCTCCTGGCTGTGACCTCCTGGCTGGGACCCCTGCCCCTGCATCCCGGGCCAGAGCGGAGGTAACATGGGGGGCACCTGGCTCGTGGGGCTCAGTGGCCTCCTCTGCAGAGCGACTCCCGTGGCCTGGCGCTCAGCACCCAGATGCAGGAGGCCTTGGAGGCCAAGGAGCTCGAGGTGCAGCGGCTGGCGCAGGGCCAGAGTGAGGTGAGTGGCCCGGCTCCCCCAGCAGCTCCACCCCAGCCCTGGGGCGTCTGACGACCCTTTCCATCCTGAGGCCAAGCAGGATGGTGCTTTGGGACTGGTCCTGGCCTCAGTTCCTCCATCTGTAAAATGGGGTGGCCCATCCATGGCGTCTTCCAGGCTCGACATGTCCACTGAGGTCACCACAGGAAGGTGTGGACAAATGAGACTTAGAAGGCTGCTGTCCACCTCTCACCTCCTTTCTCCATCAGGGGGATGATGGGTGATGAGGGCACAAGTGCCACATAGAAGGAGATGGCAATCAGCAGGCAGAGCAGGGATGGGGAGAGGTGGAGAGTTGAAATGGGCGCAAGGGAGTCACAGGCCTCACTGAGACTGTGACACTGGCATGAAGACCCGAGAGGTGCAGTGCTGGGCTGGAGGGAATGGCTTGTGCAAAGGCCCTGGGGTGGTACTGTGCAGCTAAGCTTCAAGGAGCAGCAAGCAGACCCGAGGGCGATGCCCCACCCAGCCCAGAGCCCACCAGAGTGTGGCAGGAAGCTGGTGCTGATGGGGGCAGCTGCACATCCCCCTCTCCTCCCTCAACAGCTGGAGGCCAAGCTCCACAGCCTCAGTGACACCCACCGAGAGGCCACCTCGGAAAACTTGCAACTCAGAGAGGCCAGGAGGGACCTGGCTGGGCAGCTAGAGGAGATGCAGGGGCAGCTGCAGGTGACCAGGGAACACCTGAAAGCTGCCAGGGGTCGAGTGTCTTGGCAGGTGGAGGAGGAAGCCAGGCAAGTGCTGCCACCTCTGGACTACACACACAGCTCCCTCCCTAACCATCACACCCTGCCCACTTCTCAGAGGGGGAGACTGAGGCACAGAGGAGGACAAGGCCTGTGCCCAAGAGGGTGAAAAACGTGCATACATGCCCATGCACGCACAGGAGCCTAGTGCATGCCAGTCCCGAGGAGCCCTCACACCAAAGTTGGAAGCAATGGGTGGGCCTGAGCAGTCCTGGAAGCCTTCCTGGAGGAAGCGAGGCTTCATGTGGCCTTAAGGGGTGGGGACCCGAGAAGGCCTGGGAGCACAGCCCAGGAGGAGGACTGCCTGAGCCAGCCTTGAGGACTTGCCGGGTGGGGTGACCCTGCCTCCCTGCCCCCCCCCCAATTTCACTTCTCACTTTCTTCCCAGTGTCCCCGAAACAAGCAAGAAGATCCCAGCCTCTCAGCCCGAGGCCCCCGAGGAGGGCCCCCTGCCCGGGCTGTTTGGGGACAGTGACAACTGGGATCAGCTCCTGAGTGACTTTGGCAGCCCCTGGAGCAGAGCCCTGCAGCTAACCTGGAGCCCACCCCCCACACCTCAGGCCACCTCGGGGTCCCCGATGCATCGTGTGGTCCAGCAGATCTCCATCTCAGAGCCGCACCTTTGGCCGGACCAGGAAGTGGCTCTGAGGAGCCCGCCCCGGCTGCCCCCCAGCCCTCAGGATGGGAAAGGAGAGGACGCATCGGAGCTGGACGTCAGGCCAGAGCAGCCTGTCGGGCCCCGGGGCTCAGAACCCGGCATGGAGCCGGTGGCTGGACCCCAGGCTGGCTCCCCCTGGGGCCTCCTGGGTGCCCCGGCTCAGGAGTCCGGGAGTGTAGTGGCCGAAGCACTCAGAGTCCTTGTGCCTGTGGAGGACACCAGCAGCTCTCACTCCCCTCCACAGCTTCCCCTGGGGCTCAGTGAGCGGCTCCAGGCCTCCGATGACATAGACTCCAGGCCTGGGCCTGCCCCGGCCAAGCTGCCCAGGCAGAGAGAGGCCCCACAGGCCAAGGGTGCTGGGCCAGGCCTGGGGTCCCTGGGGGCTGCGGTCCACAGCCAGGGCCTGGAGCCTGTGGGTCAGACTCCTCAAGTGGGCCCTGAGCTGGATGAGCCGAGCCAGGACGGACAGGATAGCCACCCCGGGGGGCTCGAGGAAGCCCAGCGCCAGCCCCTTGGGCTCGAGAGGCTGCCCAGCCAGCCCCTCCAGAGTCCAGAAGAGGAGCCCCAGGCTGGGAAAGGAACCAGTTCCGAGCAGGAGTCCGCCCAGCCAGCCCCAATGCCCGCTGCTGCCCACGCCAAGCTACCACAGGCAGAGGCGCCTTTAGCCATGTCCCCTGCTCCTGGAGAGCCATTCCCTGCAGGGCTGTCTGGCCCCACGGAGCCCCAGGTGCCCCCAAAGGGCCTTCCCACCCTGGCTGAGCCCAAAGCCCCTCTCAGGCCCCAACCTGAGGCTGCCCAGGCAGAGAGACAGCCAGGAGAGCCGGGGGTGGAGATCCAGCCCTTGGCCCCTGGCTCGGACCCCTCCCCGGGGCACTCTGCCGCCACCAGAGCGCCTCAGGCCAACCCCGACTACCTCTTCCACATCATCTTCCTGGGCGACTCCAACGTGGGCAAGACCTCCTTCCTGCATCTGCTGCACCAGGATGCCTTCGCCAGTGGGCTGGCCGCCACTGTGGGTAAGTGCCCTGCCAGGCAGGCTGCCTGGAGCCAGGGTCCGCAGGGGGCAGCAGGTTCTGCCGTGGCCTCGGGCCCTGATGAGACACTATTTTATATAGATGTAATCTTACTATTGCACTAATCGTCTCTAATTACAGGTAATTTGCTTTTTCTGCATTGATCTCATTAGCTTATAATGCACCACATCAACAAAGCACCCCGCAATTTAGGTGCCAGGGCTCACGGTGGTGAAAACAGCCAGGCTCCGCCCAGGTGGTCACGGGCAGGCTGCGGCAGGGCTGGGGTAATTTGCTCACCACCAGCCCCAGGCCAGCCTGCACGCTCTGGCAGGAGGACTCCCTGTGGTATCTCACCCAGGCCACAGCAATAGAGAATGTGGTTAATTAGGACCCAAGGTCCCTGAGTTCAAATCCTAGCCCCAGCACCTACCAGGGATGTGAGTCTGGGCACTGTGTTTTCACCCTCGTGGAATGGGTCCTGAGGTAATGGACTTGCGGAGAGCAAAGCTTTCTTTTTTTTTTTTAATCGGTACTGGCGATTGAACTCAGAACCACATGCTTGCAAGGCAGGTGCTTATGCTGCTGAGCTAAATCCCCAGCCCCCGAGCAAAGGTTTCTTTGGCTCACAGTTTTGGAGGCTTCAGTCCACGGTCGGGGGACATCGCCTGTGGGCCCATGGCAAAGCGGCATCTGGGAACACAAACTGCTCACCTCGAGGGAGCAAAGAGAAGAAAAGCGGGGGTTAGGACCCCACCTTTTCCCTCCAGAGCACCCCAGGACCTGGAGACCCATCTCCACTTCTTTAGCTTTCCGCCACCTCCCAATTGCACCAGGCTGCAGCCATCACGTGGGGTCATTTCAGACCCGAACTGTAGAGCCCAGCCCTCAGGTTCTCACATGCAGCGCGGGGACACAGTGAAGCAGCTTCTGGAAGTGGTGGAAGGACTTTATTTTATTTTATTTTATTTATTTATTTGTCTTTTTGAGACGGGGTCTCGCTATGCAGTTCAGGCTGGCCTTGAGCTCACTTTGTAGTCCAGGCTGGACTCGAACTCGCAATGATTCTCCCACCTCAGCCTCCTGAGTGCTGGGATTACCGGCTTGAGCCACCACACCTGGCTAAGCGGTGGAAGGATTTAATTGAATCAAACTCTTTTTTTTTTTTTTTTTTTTTGGTCTTTTTCATTTTTATCGGTACCAGGGATCGAACTCACGACTGCCTGTTTGCAAGGCAGGCGCTTATGCCGCTGAGCTAAATCCCCAGCCCCAATTGAATCAAACTCTAAGAACAGTCTCTGGCAGATCAGGAGCGCTCGGGTCATGTTGGCACCTGGCTGGTGGCCTAGTGACCATTCGTTTTGGAGAGGCGTGGCTCAGGCCCTCAGGCTTCTCACTGCCCGGAGCCTGCTGCTGGCAGCGGGACCCACAGCTCCCCAGGTAGCGAGCTGGGTCAGGGTTCTCCAAGGCCACCTTTGCCACTCACCCGCAGAGCTGCTGTCTCCTGGCTGCTCATTACGTGGTAGGAGAGTCCCACAGAACAACTGAGGGAACCCTGGTTGCAGGAGGATGAAAAGACTGGGCCAGCTGGGAGCCCCTGACGTCCAGGTCCATGGCCCGCGCTTGGGACCCCGTGCCTGCCTGCTCCGGGGCAGGGCCGGGTGGAGCCTGGAGACCTGGAGTTGTAGTGGACACGCATTCCCCGCATTGTGCGGAGGAGAAAAGCAGACAACTGAAGGCCCGGTCAGTACCCAGGCCACCTGCTTCCAAGCCACCTCCACGCGGGCCGTGGAGCTCTTTTTGGGGTTCACCAGTGCACTCTCCCCAGCAGTCCCGAGAAAGGGAAGACCATCAGGCTGGCATGGGATGGCGTGGGAGCAGCGGGTATGGAGGGGAGGCTGGTGGGTGTTAGCGCCCAGGTTCCTCGGAGCTGGGCTCCTCAGGTCTCCAGGAAGGAAGGCAGCAGGCAGATTCCAGGAGGCCTCCCCGCTCTGCTGGGCTCTGGCTTCTCCAGGCAGCAGTAGGTGCTGGCGGGAAGTGACCTCAAGGTCCCCACGCCTCTCCGGGATTTTACTGCCATCTCCATAATCCTGGGGACAAGGAGGATCTGACGGTGGGTATGGTGGTGGTCCATACCTGTAATCCCAGTAGTCAAGGGGCTGAGGCAGGAGAATCTCTGCAAACTGGAGCCCAGCCTGAGTCGCATAGTGAGTTCAAGGCCAGCCTGAACTACACGGGAGACCCTGGCTCCAAACACTCCCACCAGAAAAAGAGCCTGTCGCTGTCGTCACGGGAAGGGGTGGGCCTGGGGAGAATGAGGGCCACATGATCGCAAAGATGGGGACGGAAGCGACAGGTGTCTCCAAACTAAAGAAGAATGGTTTCAGCCGGGCATGGTGGCTCACGCCTGTAATCCCAGCACTCAGGAGGCTGAGGTGGGAGGACCGTTGGGAATTATAAACCAGCCTGGGCTACAAAGTGAGCTCAAGGCCAGCCTGAACTGCAGAGAGAGACCTTGTCTCAAAAAGACAAAAAAGAATGGTTTCCTGGGTGGGCTGGGTTCCAGCGGCAGCGGTCAGGACGTGGCCGGTAACCTGGGGACCTCCTGGAGGAGTGGACTCTGGAGGCTGAGAGGGAGGGCTTTGGAGAGCAGCGGGGAAGCCCAGGAACCAGTCCGCGTCCCCCCACAGCTGGGGCTGGGGACCCGTGTGCACGGCGTAGGCTTAGGCCGCCTGTCCAGGTGGTGATGTAGCCCCGCTCTGTGTTCTAGGAGTGGACTTCCGGGTCAAAACCCTGCAGGTGGACAACAAGTGCTTCATGCTGCAGCTGTGGGACACGGCCGGCCAGGAGAGGTGCCATGTGTCACCACTGGAGACGGGGTGGCAGAGGGCCCAGGGGTGGAGGGGCCCAGGCGGGAGGCCACCAAGGGCCAACGAGGGGCCACACCCCCAGGTTCCACTCAAGGCCAAGGATGGAGGACAAAGGCCCAGTGTTTGTGGGGGAGGGTCTCCCCAACCCTGCCTTGGGGGAATGGCCGCCGGGTCAAACACCTTCCTGACACCTGGCCTTCCGTCCACTCCAAGGCTTTGGTGATTAAGGCCCTAAAAGGACCTGTTTTCTGACAGCGAACATTTCTAGAAACTCACGCTGAGATCAGCTCCTCATGACTAACAAGGGGGCCGGGACTGTTCCTGGTGGTGATGTTTGTGTGACTCAGATGCCCATCCACAGGGGCCAGTTACGGTCCCATAGAGTCATGCAATCTGCACAGCAGAACCAGAAGTCACAGGGAAGCCTGAGGACCTTCCTTCCGTACCCAGGGAAAGAGTCCTGAGTCCTTAGGAGAGGGTGCTTCCTCCCAGTGCCCGGGTGCCCTTAGGCGCCTTTTGAAACCTCAACCGTGAGACCTCTTGGTCCCCTTGCTGCAGAGGGTGTGGTCGGGGCCACAGGGGCAGACCCCAGGACGGGCGGGTGCTGTACCCCATGACTCACAGGTCTCTCCGGCAGGTACCACAGCGTGACCAGGCAGCTGCTCCACAAGGCAGACGGGGTGGTGCTCATGTATGACATCACCTCCCAGGACAGCTTTGCCCACGTGCGCTACTGGCTGGACTGTCTGCAGGTGAGCGGTGGCTGCCAAGGTCCCTCCCAAATTCTGAAGTCAAGAGGAGGCTTGTGTCCTGCCCACACCTCCCAGGATTACAAATGACACAACCGTCCTAACAGTGCCACCACCCACGGAGCTCACACGGATGGATGAGCCAGGAGTGCGGTGGTATGAAAAAATGACAGCCACACAGTGCAACCCCTAAACAAACTGCTTCCTTTATCCTTCGAATGAGCAGGCTGTTCCTTTCTACCTACAGTGGCTGTTTGTCATGTTTTTCTGCTAAATCCGAGGATGACCTACCACCACCCTAGAGGACAAGGCCTCTGTCCCCAGCCTCTAGTTCCTTCTCCCACACATTTAGCAGAATCCGCTGGGATCCTGTGGTGGGCGTGAGGCATAGCTTGAAGCTGCATTAGCACAAGTTGCTTTTCCCCCAGATTTCTAGTCTGGCTGAGGAAGTACAAAAGCCGGAGGAAGGAGGTAGGCTCTGGGATCTGGCAAGAACCGGGTTTCAATCCCAATTCTACCCCAATTCTACTCCGTGACTTTTTTTTTTTGGCCTTTTTTTCTTTTGTACCAGGGATTGAACTCACAGCCTTGCGCTTGCCAGGCAGGTGCTCAGGCCACTGAGCTAAATCCCTGGCCCTTTTTTGCCTTTTGGAGACAGTGTCCCACTATGTTCACTGTGCAGTTCAAGCTGCCCTTGAGCTCATTTCGTAACACAGGCTGGTTTTGAACTTGCAGCAATCACCTCAGCCTCCCTAGTGCTTGCCTCAGCCTCCCTAGTGCTTGCCTCAGCCTCCCTAGTGCTAGGATTATAGGCTAGTGCCACTATGCCCAGATCTCCAACTCTGTGATTTGGGACAAGAGATTTACCCTCTCTGAATTTCCAACTCCCGCCTCCCCCACAAGGGGAGCAGTGAGGATTTACTGACAGGATTGTTTTCGGCCCTGTTTGGGGCACAGCAAGTGCTCAGTCATCAGAACCTTTGATTGACTGATCGATTGATTGACTGTAGTGTTGGGGATTGAATCCAGGGCCTTCACACTGAACTACATCCTCAGTCCTTTGGATTTTATTTTGGGTCAGCATCTTGCTAAGTTGCTCAGGTGGAGGCTCAATCTTGAGATCCTCCTGTTTCAGCTTCCCAAGTAGCTGAAATAACAGGCGTGCTTCACTGTGCCCAGCCAAAAGCTTTTTTTTTTTTTTTTTTTTTTGTCTTTTTCGTTTTTATCGGTACCAGGGATCGAACTCACGACTGCCTGCTTGCAAGGCAGGCGCTTATGCCACTGAGCTAAATCCCCAGCCCCCTATTTTTTTTTTTATGACACAAGAAATGTGTAGGGCAGGTGAGTCGCTCGCAGGAAGTGGGGGAACACTGCAGATGCGGGGAAAGGTCCAGCTGAGGACGAAGAACAGGCAGGAAGAGGCGCGGGGCACCCATGGGCACTGGGGCAGCGGCCTCTCTTCTGTGCGCAGGACGCAGGGGTGGAGGGCGCAGCGCTGCTCCTGCTGGGGAACAAGACGGACTGCGAGGAGGCGCGGCAGGTGCCCACGGAGGCCGGGCAGCAGCTGGCGCAGGTGAGCGGGCGCTGGGCCCTCGCAGGCCTCCCCCAGCGGCGACCCACGGCCCTGCTGCAGCCCAGCCCCGGCCGGCAGCCTGGACCCCGCACCCTGCAGCCGGCGATTCGCACAGGCGGCCGCAGCGGCCAGAATCCGGCTTCACAGGGCGGAGGTCCCAGAAACTTCACTGAGAAGGCCCTATCAAATCTTAACGTCGTGCCTGGCCTCTAGTTAGCATCCTCCCTTCTAATTTATTCCTCTTGAAGACTCCAGTGCTTCCTCGGGAAGATGACAGCTAAAGTCCCCCGGCCAGACCCTGGCCACCGTTTCTTTCTGAATGGTCAGCCACAGGGACCAGAGAGGCCAGGGAGCGAGGAGGGGTGGGGCCGGACTTGCCCCCCCTGGCCACGCCCCCAGCGACGATGCGGCTTCTGGTTGGCCAGTTTTTCCTTTTAAAAGTAGCGCATTTGTGATAACATAGTGATTCCTTGTCCAGCAATTTATCTGTAGGAAAAAGAGGAATAATAGTAGCGACGGACATACGTAATGGATGCCTGTGTGGGAACAGATGACCAAACGTGTTTGGTATCAATGAGGATGTTCCTGACAGTATTGTTTATAAGAACAACCATTTTGCCGGGCATGGTGTCACACGCCTGTGATCCCAGCACTCAGGAGGCTGAGGCAGAAGGATTGCCTTGAGTTTGAGGCCAGCCTGGGTTACAAGGCAAGGCTCTGTCTCAAAAAAAATATTTTAAAAAATCGGTTGGTGTTTAAATTGAGGCAGTCCTGGGAGAGGCCAGGGTTTGCCCTGGAGAATCCTGTCCCAGGAGAAGATGTTAGGGGCCCGAGACACACTAATAAAGCCAGGCATAGTGGGGCTTGCCTGTAATTCCAATTTGGTGGGGCCTGGGGCAGGACGCTGTGGCCCATGCCCAGGGGTAGGGGGCGAGGCTGAACCTGGCCTTGCATCTGTACTGCCCTGTCTGGCCCACAGGAGCTGGGCGTCTCCTTCGGAGAGTGCAGCGCCATCCTGGGTCACAACATCCTGGAGCCCATGGTGAACCTGGCCCGGTGAGCGACCCTACCCCACCCTACCCAGGGACCCCAAGTGGCAGGACTGGATTTCCCACTGGGGAGGAGAACAAACCCTGCCCTGAGATGTTCCTGCCTCAGCCTCACCATATGCATTAATGTGTCACTCCTCAGAGGCCTGTCCCCTCACCAAGCCTGGTGTCTGTCTGTGAAGTGGACTGTTCCTGGGGGTGTCCCCATCTGGCTCCCAACCTTCCCCTGATAGCTGTGGATTTAGAATGAATGAAATCCAGCTGGGTGTGGTGGCATATACCTATAATCCCAGTATTTGGGAGGCTAAAGCAGGAAGGTTGCTGTGAGTTCAAAGCCAGCCTTTAACTACATAGCCAGACCCTGTCTCAAAACAAACAAACAAACAACCCCCAAACAAAAAACAAACCAAGAATGAAATTCAGGTGCCTTGAAATACACTTCATTGCCAGGCGTGGTGGTTCACTCCTATAATCCCTGCACTCAGGAGGCTGAGGCAGGAGGATCATCGCAAGTTCAAGACCAGCCTGAGCTACAAAGTGAGCTCAAGGCCAGCCTGAACCGCATAGTGAGACCCCGTCTCAAAAAGACAAAAAAAAAAAAAAAAAATACACTTCATTGTCTTCAGTGCCCCCTCCTTTGCCCTGTACACACACACACACACACACACACACACACACACACACGTCTCCAGCTCTGGCCACTCGTCCCTGGCCCCCTTCTGACCACAGACTTGATCGGACGCTGTAATTATGGACACATCTGTCCTCTTCCTTCTTGTGCCCAGGAGGGCAGGGCTGTCTGTTGCTGCAGGCCTGCACCAGGGCCTAGTACATACTTGGTGCTTAATAGATGAAGGGGAGGAGCTGGGGGCAGAAGTGCAAGACCAGGGTGCCCCACCCAGGGGCCCAGAGGAGCGGAATCAGGAATGAACGACTGCTTTGGTTCCCTTCCCCTCCCGACTCAAAGCGAGGTCACACACCTGACCCGGGGCCCCGCCCGTGCGAACCGCCCGCCCCATCCGCCCCTCACTGTGCCAGGCAGTGGCCCTTGCACAGCACCTGGCACCCAGCAGGCCTGAAAGCATGGCAGGGCAGGACTGACGCGCATGCGCTGTCACGCAGGTTGCTCAAGGTGCAGGAGGACCGCCTGAAGGACTCGCTGGCGAAGGTGGCACCCAGGAAGCCGCCCAAGAAAGCCGGCTGCTGCCCCTGACCCACCCCGGCCACCCCACCCCCAGCCCCGGCCAGGCCTCCCGGTCCCTCTGCTCCATCCTGGCCCCCTGGGAGGTGTTTGTGTGGTTCTGTAAGGCTCGGTCTTCCACATAAAAGCAGACACTGAGCAGGAGGGAGCTGTCCAGGGAGCTGGCTTTGGTGCTGACTCCTGACTTGCACGGCTTGTGGTCCAGGGAACTCTGTGAGCACCCCAGCAACCGCGCCTCCCTCCCTTTCCCCACGACCCACACTGGGGTGCTGCCCCTGTCCCAGGGCCTCCGGCTCCCCAGCATGGGGTTGATGGGTGGGGACCCAAGGGCAAGCTCCTTTGGGGTCTTGGCGAGCCAGCAGCGGTCTGCAAGAGGAGCTTTTGGCAGAGCCATCAGCCTATCCCTGGGTCAAAGGGCGCAGTCAATAGGTGGGAGCCAATAGGGGACCCCAAGCAGCACATGATGGACGGGGCAGCAGCAGCAGCAGGAGGACTCGCAGTGGACCCAGAGCCGACTTTCAGGCAGGTGCCATGTTCTCAAGTGTCAAGAGGGCTCTGGGTCACTTTGACAGATTGGGACGATGAGGGTAGCCGGATGTGGTGGCGCAAATTTACAATCCCAGCACGCGGGAGGCTGAGGCAGGAAGGCTGCTGTGAGTTCAAAGCCAGCCTTGATTCCCTTCTGGGCAGGCGTCTCCTCCCGTCTCCTTTTCCCACGGTGCCCAAGGGGAGGGAAGCCAGGTCTGGTTATGAGAGGTGCCCTCCCCTGCCCCAGCGAGTCACGGGAACACGTAATTACAGGGGCAGCCTTGGGTAATTAGTCTGGGAGGGGAGACACCCTTTTCCCTGTGCCCTGTCCTTAACAGCAACCGGGGTTTTCACAGAGGCCAAGAGGCCAGGAGGAAGCCACACACCCCACCCACCTCTCACGTGGCTGTGTCGCCTCCTTCCTGACCCACAAGGCAGCCCAGTGCCTGTGGACCGTGGCCTGCAAATGCCCAGCGCCCTCTTTGGTGCCCGAGGACCCCTGGCCCGTGCTGGGCAGCTCCTTCCTCAGGGCTCAAGGGCATCACCATGTGCTGGCAGGGCCTGGCACTCATGCTCAGGCCTAAGAGTGGGGTGAGGGTGCAGCAGAGAATCTGACCATGTTTTCTGTCACCTCCTCAGTGGCTTCCTGTTCACTGCAGTGACAGTTCAAGGCCTCGCCAGGGCCTACAAGACCCCACAGGCTTCACCTCCATGACCCCAACCACCCAGTCCACCCTCTGTGCTCCACACACTGAGCTCCCACCCCAGGACCTTTGCACTGTCTCTGGTTTGTTCCTCTACATGGAACCCAAATACTAGCATGGCTCACCCCCCCCCCAATACTGGGGATGAACCCCAAGGCCTTCACGCTGAGCTCTATCCCCATTCCTTTTCATTCTTCATTTTGAGATACGGCCCTGCTAAGTCTGTGTTGCCCAAGCTGTGCTCAAACTTGCAATCCTCCTGCCTCAGCCTCCCAGAGAGCTCAGATAACAGGTGTGCACCACCACACTCGGCTCTGCAAGGCTTCCTCTCCCACTTCCGAGGCTCCCCTGAACGGTCACTTTTTCTAAAGGCCACTCCAAGGCTCTCTAGCCTCTTGGTCACTGGCTCCTCTTTCTCTTGTTCCCTAAAGTGATACTATGGTCTGGTTTGTGTCTGTGCTGGCTGTTTGTGTGTGTGTGTGTGTGTGTGTGTGTGTGTGTGTGTGTGTGTGCCTGTGCACCTGATTTGGAAGCTTCCTGTGGGATGAGCGCCTGGGTCTGGCCCGTGTCACCTCCCCTGCTCAAGAAAAGAAACTAAAAGTGGGGGAAGAAGCTGGGCTCCAGGGTGATTTGTCACAGGAGAGAGGGTCACAAGGAACTCTAGGAAAAGAACCAGGTTTACTTCAGTTTAAGGCAGATTCCACACAGACTGTCTCGGGACGGCACGAGGACCAGACAGCAGAAACACCACCACGGCCATGCAGGGCCGGGAGGGCGCGGGCGCGGGCGTGGGCGCGGGCCGTGTGCAGAGGCTGGCATGCAGGACTGGCAGGCGCGGCCGGGCAGGTGGCAGGGCCGGGCGATGCCCTCGCCCCCACCACCACCACTGCGCAGACACTGGAGCCCAGGCTGAAGCCGGACAGGAGTGTTCAGGCGACTGGATGCACGGGGTGACGGCGGGGCTGCGGGCCAAGGTGGGGAGATGGGGAGGGCGGAGCTGAGCGCGGACCCTCAGCACCTGCGCAGGAGGAGAGCCCGCCGGCCCATTGGAGCCGCTGTGCTAAGGGGTGGAAATGGAGGCGCAGAGGCGGACAGGCCTTGCCGGGGACCCCAAGGGTAGGGAGCTGGACCCAGGTTTCCTGTTCCCTGTCCCTGCAAAGGGGAAGAACAGCACGGGGGCCACAGGGGCGCAGAGGACGGGGCGCCCCGGGCAGGATGGGAGGGTGAGCGGACACCCCTGGGAATCCCAGAGGGTCTTGGGCCACCACGTGAGCTGGGTCCATGCTGCAGCCTTCTGGGGGCTCCCCCTGCACACACAAGTGTCCCTGGGAGGGCCATCCCCGCTCCTCCACCCTGCAGCCCTGCCAGTCTCGGGGTTCACAGGAAATGGGGCACACAGGACAGCTGATGAGTTGCGGGCAGGAGGCCCAGCCGAGGCTCCTCAACCCAGCGATCACCATGAACACCTCGGCTGGACTGGGAACCCCAGGCCGGGCGCACTGTGCATTACTGTTATGCGCGCACCCCAACTTCCTGGGTTTGGGCCACCAGTGAGGGGGGTATTGGGGAGGAGCCTCCAGAGGCTCTGCCCCGCCCCCCGCACGCACACGTCCCAAAGGCCGAGGCGCTCAGCTCAGCCATTTAGAGGCGACGCAGGGGGCGTGTGGGCCGGAGACCCAGGGGGCGAGTGCGCAGGTGCGGCGGGCGCGGGGCGGGGGCGGATGCCCTGCGCCTTCATGTAGGACACCAGCTGGTCCGGGATCTCGGCCAGCACGTCACGGGCCAGGCGGGCCATGCTCAGCACGTGGTTGCCTGTGCGGTCCACATAGTCCCGGAAGGGCACAAACTGTCAGGCAGAGAGGCAGAGTCAGGAGGGTCTCCTGCTGCGACCTGAACCCCCAAATCTCCAAGCCTGTCATAGGCACTGTTCTTACATTCACTCAACGAATCCTGGCTGAGCACCTCATCCATGCGGGAGGGGGGGGGGCGCCCCAGCAGGATTCCTCCACTTTTGCCAAGAGGGGGCTGGGATACGGGGCACAGGCTCTTCCTTTCTCTCCAGCAAAGCCCACTCAGACTCCTTCCTCCATCCTCTATCACTGGGGAGACGGGCCAACGGCTGGAGCCAGGCCCCTAGAGCTCCTTCCTGGGTCCCCATGAAGCACCCCAAGTTGTTTGTACCTCCAGGCTTTGGGGCATAGGTCCCCCCATACCCCCACACACACACCTCCCCCAACACACATCGGGGGTCTAAAGGCAGGAGGCGAAGGGTGGCTGTCCTGTTCTCCTCTCCTGAGCCCTGGGTGCAGCAGACTGGGCCGGATGGAGGCTCCCTAGGACTGGGCCCTGGCCTGTGACCCCTGCATCCTTGCCTGGAGTTAGGAGGACACGGATCTTCCTAACCCAAGCCTTGCAGTGCCGCCTTGGTCACAGTGGCAGAGAGCTGAGCCCAAGCTCACTGGGGAGCTGCTGGACAGAGGATTATGGCCGGGCACGGCCGCCAGGCCACCAGCCCTGCTGGCACTGAGCCTCACAGACGCTGGGAGAAGTGTGGCCCCGGGACTGGCCAGGCCTCCCCGCAGCTCCTGCATTATTTCCCAGCTTCACCTGCACGATGTCACGCTCAGCCAGCTTCCCGCGTGAGGAGATCCGCACATCGTCACCATCCAGCTCCACCATGGCTGTGCAGGGCAGAGCACCATGGGGCAGGAGGTTAGCCGTGGACAAGCCCTGGCAGGCTGGTCCAGGGCAGAGGCTGCCCAGCAGGCCCCATGCTGGAGGTGGGGGGCCTGAGCCCAAGACGTGGGGGCTGCCCAGCCAGATGGGCATCTTACCGCAGCCCCAGGACACAGAAGCTCAGAGCAGAGGGGACAGGAGGAGGTCAGGGAGGGCGCCTGCCGCACACACCCTCCCAGGGCACCTTGCCGGATGTGGCCCATGCCCGGCAGACAATCTCACACCCCATGACCGAAGGGGCCTGGGACTCACCGTCAAACTCCGCTTGGCCGACACCGATGATGATGATGGACATAGGGAGCTTGGCAGCCTGGGAAAGGCCACGAAAGGCCAGGGGAAAAAAAGAGAGGTGAGGGCCGGGCACAGCTCAGGGCACAGCGCCCTCATGGCAAGCGCAGGGCCCTGAGGTTCGATTCCCGGTGCCAAACAAACAGAGGGGAGAGATGAAGTGCAGGGCCCCAGTGGAAAGGGAGGTGTGCGACGTCCCCTCGCTCACGTTGACGATGGCCTCCTTGGTCTGCGCCATGTCGGAGATGACGCCGTCGGTGATGATGAGCAGCACGGAGTACTGGGAGCCGTCCTGCACGGCCGCCGCGTTCCTGCGCAGGGCCGGAAACAGCTGGGTCAGGGCCGCCCCTCCCTGCCCCACCTCACCCGCATGGGGCGGCGCCGCTCACCTGGCCACGTGGGTGACCACGGGCGCGAAGTTGGTGGGGCCGTAGAGCTGCACGGTGCGCAGGCTGCGGTGGTAGGCTTCTAGGATGCCGTCGATGCCGCAGCACGAGGGGTTCTCCTGGTTGCCGTTCTGGTGGCAGGGAGGGGGCTGGGCTCAGGAGGGAAGAGGGACCCCTCCAGTGGTCACTCCCAGAGGCCCTGGAGAGCTGCCGGCAAACTCGGGGTCCCAGCAAGTCAGGAAGGGGCTGTGGCGGGTCTGTTCTTTGGGTCACATGCCCAGTGCGGCACCTGGCGCGGTTGGCTCCCAGGAAGGACAGGAGGCAGCCCTGAGGGGCTTTGTTTTTTTGAGACAGGGTTTCACTCTGCAGCTCTGGCTGGCTTGAGCTCACTTTGTAGCTCAGGCTGGCCTCGAACTTGCAACGATCCTCCTGCCTCAGCTCCTGAGTGCTGGGATTACAGGTGTGCACCACCAGACCCAGTGGAGTTTTGTCTCCATAGGGCGTGGACCTCAGGAGGGTACCATGTTGTGTTACCCCGGGGGCGACCCGTCGCCATGATTTCCATCTGGATGCCCCCCACCATGCGCCGAGGTGATTGTTGGGCAGGTGACTGGCCTGCTGCTCGGAGGTCGGGTGTGGGGTTCCTGGGGGCCTCCCCCACCCCTCTGCTTCCCTGCACGCCACGCAGAAGTTCCCCCCAACCCCAGCCTCCCCGGCCCTCACCAGCGGGAACTCGTGGGACACCCTGCCGTCGGGGGGCAGCTTGGCCCCAAAGCCCAGGGCTGGGAACATCTTATCGCTGTCATAGTGCTGGATAATCTCCCCGACGGCGGTCAGCGCCAGCGCGTAGGCATTCAGCTGGTAGGGGCTCATGTAGTGCAGGGACGTGGACTGCGAGGGGTTCCCTGCAGTGCGGACACGGATTCGGCACATGGGAGGGGCAAGGGCGCCCTAGCTTTGCTTTATTGATCCTAGACCCCTTCCTCCCCTTCACTTCACGTTCAGTCCTTTGGCAAATTCTGGCTGCTAAACCGGAAACCAGGGGTCGCAGCAGCCTTAAGGGGCGCCCGGCTCCTCTCCAGCTGGGCACCTCCTTCGCGCCTGCGCACCGCCAGGGCGAGCTGTCACCAGCGAGCTCAGGGTTCCCGTCCCACCTGGGCGGACCCAAAGCTCAGGAGCTCGCACCAGCTCCCGTCCGCCCCTGGCCCTACCTCACAGGCCCCTGGCCTTCCCCGCCTCTGGACCTTGGCAGTGGCCGTCCTGTCCACGCACGACCCCTCGCCCCTGCATGCCACATGGCCCACTCTACTGCCTGTGCACCATCTGTGTGCTCCAGAACAGCTGGCAGGAAGTTACAACCTCCCCCAAACCTGCCACCCCTTCCTGCCATGGAGTCTCCCACAGTCCCTGTCACCCTTTGCAGAGTCCACAGGTCACCCGTGAGGTCATTAATGAGAGGCTATTAATGCAGGCAGCAAAGGGAGCCGAGGTGCCTCCCGGCACTGGCCAGCGCTTGGTTAGTGTCCTCAGCCTCTCGCCCTCAGCGTCCTTGTGTGTGAAATGGGGATAACAAGAGGCCCCACCCCCAGGATTGCTATGAGGCTCCACCAGATGTCACAAGTGTCCCTGAGAACCCCCAGCTCTGGAGAATAGCACCCCACGATGAGGATGCTTGAGCTGCAGCCATGAGCAGCTTTCCTGATGCACAGGACCAGGGACTGGGCTTGGGCATCAACCAACTGGCACCAAAATGTGTGCTGAGCACCCTTGCGGGTCCAGGGCATGGGCCAGGCTGTGCCCTGACAGTGTGCGGTCTCACGTGGTGACCGTTCCCTGGTTCTGCCACAGCCTGACACTGGGGCAGTCAGAGGAGGGGAAGAAGTGGGGGCTACCCCTGCCCAGATAAGCACTGGGGGCCTTGAGCACTTCCAGCTGGACAGCTCAAAGGAGAGGACCTGACCCTAGAGAACTTGGGTTTCTCCAAAGACCTGGGGACACTGGAGGCTCCCCACAGGCACCAAGCCCAGTGCCCAGCTGTGTCAGTGTCTGCCATCTGACCCAGGGGACCTCTGTCATCTTGGCTGTACCTTTGCTCCACTGGGCCCGGGGAACCTCATATTTGGTGAGGAAGAAGCCACAGAGCACGAGGGCCCAGGCAGCTCATGGCCACAGCCACCACCACCAGCCATAAAAGCCTCTCTTCCCCCCACTCACCGTTGGAGGCGGTGAAGTCGATGGCCACTGTGAAGTTAATTTGGGTCCTAGGAGAGAGGAGAGGGGTCACCCAGGAAGGTGCGGCTGTAGGGGGGAGCTGGGCGGGATGAGGGGCAGGTGGTCACATGGAGGAATTCCTTCCTTCCTCCTGAACCCAGCGGGGTAAGGACTGGTCTCCCGGGTTCGGATTCTGCGTTAAACGTGTGATAGAACAGACATTACAGATACCCCCAGGGAGGAACAGGCCACCACTGGGGAAAAGCTGAGTCTGAATCTGATTGGGCCTCAGGATTCTCATCTGCCGGTTTTTCCCAGGAAACACAGGTGACAGAGACACAAAGTTAAGTGACACCGTGGGGATGCAGCCAGCACAAATCAGGTCCTGGGAAACTGAAGAACCACTGGATGTGCAATCCATGGCCCAGGGTGTTGGAATCACACAGGAAACTGGGAATCTTGGGGCCCTCTCTGTACCTCCTGAGTCTGAATCTATTGGTGGAGTCCTTTAGGTACTCACGGAGCCAATAGATAAGACAATTAAGAGGTAAGCCCACCAGTCAGCACAGGGATCTAGGCACCTGGCACATGGATTGCATTGGTTTCTGATTCAAACAAACCAATTTGAAAACTAGACAGGTGGGCATGGTGGTGGTTCTCTATGTAACTCCAGCACTCAGGAGGCTGAGGCAGGAGGATCGTTGCAAGTTCGAGACCAGCCTAGGATGCAAAGTGACCTCAAAAGCAGTCTGAACTGCACAAGGAGACCCTGTCTCAAAAGACAAACATTTAGGGATTTAGCTCAGCACCCTAAGTGCCTGCCTGGCAAGCACGAGGTCATGAGTTCGATCCCCGGTACAAAAAAAAAGACAAAACAGAAACAAAAACAAGTGGATGACGTGGACAGTACATGGAACAAGATGGCCCAGCTGCTCACTGCTGAGGGGGTGAATGGAGTCCGGGTTCATTACTCCTCCACTTCATGTGTTTGCAATTTTCCGTAACAAAGTTAGTGAGTAGGGGTGTAGCTCAGTGATGTACCCCCGTTTCTCACCATCTCACACCCTGTGGCCACTTCCTTACCCTGTACCCAGCATTCCCAAAACCCTAACAAGTAAAATAAGACGTTGACTTGAGCATGTCTCCAATCCCAGTACTTGGAAGCTGAGGCAGGAGGATCACTGTGAGTTCCAGGCCAATCTGGGCTACACAGCAGGACCCCTGCCTCCAAAAACCCAAAAAATGAAAATAAAAATGAAAAGCATGATGGACTCTGATTCCGAGTCCACGCCCACATAGGGCTCAGCCGTGTCAAGAGGGCCCCTTGCAAGGCTGGCCTGCTGGCACTCCCACCGAGCCAGCGTTTGAAAGGCGCCAATTCTGCAGGTCTGGGGTGAGACCCGGAGGCTGCTTCTTTAGCAGAAACCCAGGGATGGCGAGGAGGGTTCTGGGTTCACCTGGGGGCAGCCAGGTGTCTCTGAGCAGGTGCTGGGGACGATGGGGGAGGACCCTGGGTATGTCGAGGGATGGCGGTGAGGACTGAGGCCCTAGACGGGCACCTCCATGTGCCTCCTGCACAGGGCCGGCCTGCACTCAGGTCCTCCACCCAGAGTGGCAGGGAGGCCATGGGTGCCGGAGCCCTAATCTGCTGGGTCCACAGGCAGGCGCCAGCTTGGCTGTGGCCCAGCCTCTTAGGGTTCCAGCCTTTGAACTCTCGAGGCTGCATCTGCACCACGCCCTGCCAGGCCCAGTCAGGACTGTGGGGCAGCAGGAAGCGGGCTGTGAGGGCAGGCACCCTGCTGCCACCTAGCTGTGTGTGAGGCACAAGCAGCGTCCTCGCCCCGCCCCCACTGTGCTCTGTAATGGGAGAAGCAGGAAAGGGTGGTGGGGTGGTGAGCCTCTGAAAACTACCACGGCTGCCAAAGGTGCGGAGGGCACAGGAGGAGCTCTCAACCTTGGGACTGTGCAAGTTCAAGACAGCAGGAGTGGCGGTTTGGAGGGACAAGGAGGGCGGCTTCCCAGGGCCGACTTCTCCTCTGACCCAGCAAGCCAGGTAACCCAGTGCCTGCTTGGCCGGGGCCAACCTTGGCAGCCACAGCTGTTCACCTGCCTGCACCTGAGGGCTTCTGGCTGCCCACGCCCCAGCCTGGTACCTGCCCTGGCAGGATGCATGCCAGGGAGGCTCACCCAGAGCTCCCCTGCACATCTCCCACTCCAGCCCACCCGGAAGCTCCTGCTGCTGCTTCCCCTGCAGGCCCCGACCCTCCTGGTGCCCCTCACAGTCCCGCTGTCAGGCAAATCACCGACCTGACCCTGGAGTCAGAGCACGGTGCCCGACACCCCTCCCGTCACCTGCGTGCCAGGGACCTGACATGCAGCAGGAAGACGGCTCCTCCCCGCACCCAGGGCTCCTTCGCCTCCCCGGGCCCTGGACTCCTGTCACGCAGTCCCATCTCTGCAGGTCCCATCTCTGCACAGGGACCCAAAATGGCCCTGCTGGCCACGCCTCAGCCCGGATGCAGAGTCTGCTCAGAGCCAGGTGTCGCAGGCCGGGCCAGCAAGGGCCAGCAAGGGTCGTGTCCTCTGAGGGAGGGCAGACGTGGGGACCCCTTTCTCCTCACCCTCCTTTGATGTAGTCAAGGAAGGTGCACTCGGACTCCACAGCGAAGGACAGCAGGGTGACCTAGAAGGCAGAGGGGACCCGGTCAGTGGGGAGCTGGTGTGGGCGATGCTGCAGCTAACCCGTGCCAGGCACTCAGCATCACTGCCAGGAGGAGCCTGCGGAGGACAGCACTTCCACCAGGGACCCAGAGGGCCACTGTCCACACTGCCCCCGCCCCTGCGGTGTGGCACAGGAGCCCTGCACGTGCCTCTCAGATCTGAGCCTCCCCTGTGTCACTCTTCTCTGTGGTGTCACTCGGGTCTCCTCCTGGGACCTGAGACCCCAGCCCTCTCCTGGGAGAACTCTTTCTCGCTTCTGGGATTTTTTGTTTGTTTTGTTTTGTTTGTGCTTAGGTCTTTGTCTTGAGGCAGGGTTTCACTATACAGCTCAGGCTGCCCTTGAACTCACTGTGTGACCCAGGCTGGCCTCAAACTCCCAGTGATCCTCCTGCCTCAGCCTCCTTTGTGAGCTCTGACATTAGCTTTGCCGTTTTGATAAGGATTTCCGGTCACAGAACCAAGGAAACCTGGCATCCAAGGCTGATTCAGGGCTTCCCCAGGCGGTCAGAAAAATAGGAAAAGCACTAAATACAGATTGCAGGGCCCAGGGAACCGGCCCAGGCACCCGGGCTTCGCATCGGCGGAAGCCAAGGAAAGCCAGGCTTGTCGCCACCTCCCTGTGTGACATCCCCGCTCTGGGCCAGGGCTTCCTGGTCTCTAAAGTCTGAGATCAGCGGGTTTCGAAGTGTTTTATTTTTAGCAGTACACCCAAGAGTTCCTGGCAGGGCAGGCCTGCCTCTCCCAAGGGCACCAAGGAAAGCATAGGACACTCTGGGGGATTCTCAGGAGACTGGGGCTCCACGGAACCACAGGCAGAAGGCAGAGGAGAGAGACCAGCAGCTTTGGCCAAGCAGCTCTGTCCCGAGAGGCTACAGTCCATCCCCCGGAGAGCAGGTCCTTTCGTGACACCCCCATGGGCACTCCCAGGCTTCTCATCACTGCCCCCGGCAGGAGCAGGCGGGGTGCTTTATTAGCCTCACTGTACAAACAGGGAAATGGCCCGGGTGGTAACACAGGAGTCACAGCTGCGGCTGGGGCCCAGCACCGCACCAAGACCGCCTGCAGGGTTTCGGGAAGAGGAAGAGGAAGGGGTAGGGGAGTCCTGAGGAGGGGCATTCCAGGGAGGCTCTTCAGCTGTTTCCCTGAAAGGCTGGCAGATGTCATCATAGGCCACAGGCACGGAAGGAAAATCAGGTTAACTGGCGCACGCCTGTGATCCCAGCACTCAGGAGGCTGAGGCAGGAGGAACACGGAGGGTTTGAGGCCAGCCTGGGCTACATAGCGACACTCTGTCTCAAAAAGAAAACAACAAAAAAGCAGCTCAGCTCCCAACAGTCACGGGGCGGTGTGTTGCCCAGGTGGGCACAGACAAGCAGTGGCAGGCGGGCAGCACCTGGAGCGGCTGGAACCACACGTATCAGTGCCATCACTGCTGCTTTCCAGCTCTGTGAGCTCCGGTGAGTCACCTCCTGGCCCGCAGCCTGGTTTCCTCTTCCAGGTGAGCAGGCGCTGAGATGGCCTGCCTGGCAGAGAAACGCTGCCCTGCGGCTGCACCTCACGGGGAAACCCCTGTGCCCGGATCTCTTCTCTGCCTGCTGCTCCATCTACGCAGTCCCCCCGCAGGCTGCCAGCCCACCTGCCCAGCCCCTCCTGGTCGGAGTCCCATGTTCTGCACAGGCAAACAGACAGACAGACAGACAGATGCCTGCCTGACAGCAGACTAGCTCAGGGCTCCAACCACACACACTGCCCCCCCAACCCCGGGCTTCAGGGAGAGCAGGCTGATTACTCACCGTGCCAGAATTCACGTATTTCTTTTTCTTCATCTTCTTTTTCGGGTTAATCACCTGCAGGAAAATCCGGTTAGGTTTCCAGGCTGCCAGGGCCGGGCCCTGGGGCTGTCGCCAACCACTGGGTGTGGCCAGGGCCCCATAACCACAGAGCTGACCAGGAGAGGACTGCAGGGGCCAGGGAAACGGGGCTCCAGGGATGCTGTGGGAGGGGGCTCTCCAGTCTCTTGCCATCGTACTGATGTCGCTTCAGCCGTGCACCCCAACATACCCGCACCCCAACATACCCGCGCCCTAACACACCCTCGCCCCAGGCGGCCAGCAAAGCTGCTCAGGCTGCACCGCTCACCCCCAGTGCCTCCTCCTCCTGGCACCTCCTCTGCTCTTGGGGGCTCTGCACCAGGTCCCCATTGTGCTGTGAGACCCCTTCAAGTGTTGCCACATTGGCCTTCAACATCTAAACGTAATCACCTTCAGACAACAAACCCAGGCCGGGCAGCAGGAGGTGTTCCCCAAGGGCTTGTTAGTGGGCTAAGTCAGGGATCTCAACCTGGGGTGACTCTGTTGCCTAGAGAGATCTGGGGACAGCTGGGTGCCCCAATATGGGGAGCAGGTGGCGGCCAGGGGGTGGTGGAATGCCCTGTGACACTCAGGACAGCCCCAGGGCAGTGGACTAGCCAAGTGTCACCAGTGAGGAAGGCTGCCTTGCCCCTCCAGCCCCCAAGGACTCCCAGCCTGTTTGTGCCCCAGTGGAGCCCCACCAGCTCTTTGTCCACAGGGGACTCGAGGCACAGTCTCTCTCGGGTCTCAGCTCACGGCACGGTTTCCACCCCCACTTCGCCACCTGCTGGCTCCATGTGAACCCACTGTGCGCCTCCCCGAGACTGACACCCACTTCCGGGAGCCACACAGCCATCTGGGCGACCGACCAAGGGCCGCAAAGCAGGGGTCTGCCCTGGGCAGTGTCGTACACACAGAGGAGCCCCCCTGATGACACCCTTTCTGCAGTCTTCACGAGGCGGGGTGGGGTTCCATTTCCTGACCCTCGGAACCATTCTCCCACTGAAGGAAGCAAGTCCTTAAGGCATCCAGTGACAAGGGCCACCAAAAGGGACATTGGAGGTGGCAGAGGAGCCGGAGGGAAGACACACCATTTGAGGTGCTGAAGGCTCACATGTGGAGAGCTCACAGTCAGGAGATGGGGGCAGCGGCACGGGACTGGGACCCAGCCAACTCCAGTTCTGCGGGGTGGAAGGGCAAAGGGCACCCAGAGTGCCAGGCACAATGTCCACATGTCACTCAGAGGGTGCTTGGGGACCCCCGCGCCCCTCGTAGTGGGTAAGATCTGGTGACAGGTAAAGAGACCCTGCAGGTTGCCCCAGCAGACTGAGCTATGGTGAGAACGGCCCTGTTGAGAAATGACCACCGGCCGGCCCGTGCACTCTGGGAGGCTGAGGCGGGAGGATCACAAGTTCCAGTTCAGCCTGGCCAACTCAGCCACTTAATGAGAGCCTGTCTCAAAATTAAATAATGAAACATGGGCTGGGGATGTAGCCTGGTGGAAAAGTTCTGGGTTTGATCCCTGGAACCAGAGGAGGGAGAATACCACAGAGGGAGAGAGAGAAAAATAGATCACACAGCAGGGTGCATTTGGAGTCGAGTGAGAGGTCCAGGAGGGAGACAGCCGGAGGGTTCTTCCAGTGGACATTGAGAGCCTGGTGACCTGCTGGTGCTGGGGACGCCACTTTGAAGGCCTTGGGCTGCCCGAGGCCCAGGCGCTGGCAACACATGTTTGGGGAAGCAGCCACAGCCCAATACCGCACTGTGCCTCAGTTTCCCCATCTGTCCGATGAGGGTGTTGGTTCCCCCGGGGCTCCGCTTCAGCCCCAGGCTCCGCAGTACAGCTCCTCCCAGCTTCGGGTTGGTTTTCCACTCACTGCATCCCACTGTCCACGCTCTTTGTGGTCAAGCAATGCTCTGGTCTCCAGCTTCATGGGAAGCGGACCTGAAGAAAGGCCCTGTGTACTTGAGGTTTCCCGGGGTCCCCAGGACGTATGCCCCAATCCTGAGTGGTTGCCCACAGGAAGTTCCAGGCAGAGGGCCAGCACACCCCAGGGGCAGCCTGGGGACCCTGTCCTTTCTTTCTCCTGGGAGGGCGACCGGCTCTTCTCCAGCAGGAAAGGTCCTTTCCCACGTGGCCTCTCTGAACATGAAGGCAGCTCTCCGCTTCCCACGGAGGCGCCAGTTGTGTCTCTGGTTGGTGGCAAAGCAGCAGAGTTCAACAACCAGGAGAACCGGTCCATCCGGCAGGCCTGCTTCTCCTCCTGCCCAGCCTGCTCAGCACCTCTGGAAGCCAAACTCCACCCCTCCGAGGCCCTCCAAGGAGTGGGGGAGAAAGTGGAGTCCCGTCAGCCTGGGCTGGGTGCACACACCCTGTCTGTGGGTGCACAAACAAAGCAGCCACCGTCCTCCTCCGTCTGGCACAGCACCAGCAGTGCCAGGGCGGGGCGGCCACCAGAGCCAGCCGCTGTCTGCTCAGAGCATCGGCCCTGCCCGCTGGGCCGGACAGGCAGGGGGGGTGGTGGGGGTGCGGGATTTACCCTGTGAGGGGACTCAAAGCCAGCTCAGGGGCTGAGTGGCTCCTGCTGGGCTCAGCGCCACCACAGCAGGATGACTGCAAAACGGGAATCTCTTGGCACCGATGCCAAGGGGCCACTGCTCCATTAGCTCCTTTAAGGCTCAGTCTGCAGGGCACAGGACTGGCCGGTCAGGGACAGCCAGGCCACAGAGCTGGCAGGGACAGTCGGGGCGTGAGCCCGCTGTGAGCGTGGCCAGGAACCGTGCTCGGAAGGCGGCGGGCAGGCTGGCCAGGGTGGCCGAGAAGAGCAGCAAGGGCGCTCGGAGGAGCAGGAGCCTGGCAACGTTCGGGCGCCACGAGGGTGGCATAGAAGGGCCCCGGCGGCAGGCTGCTGAGGGGCTCCCGACAGCTGCTCCCCCAGCTCCTTCCTTCCCAAGGAGGCGGCCCTGAAACTTCTAATGGAGGCACAGGGCTGGCATGGACTTGGACCTCAGGTCTTGAGCCCAGAACATTCTCTGTCTGAAACTGGGGACGAACCTAAGGCCTTGTGCACACCGGCCATGTGCTGTACCCGAGCTGCACCCCAGCCGTCAGAAACTTTCCCGGAAACGCTATGAGCCAGTATCCTAGAATCAGACAAGTCATCTGGACGCCCCCCCTACTGCCACCTACAGTGCATTATGGGGGGGGCTTGAGGGGGAGCCAGGCACAGCCCCAGCAGCCCCATAGCACTCACAACGGTCCCTGTAAGGATCAGGACACTGGCCGCGCACTCCAGGCCACCCTGCGGGGACGCTCACCTCATAGATGTTGAACTGGCTCTGGCCACGTGCCAGCTCACGGTAGCTGGTGGTGAACTCTCCAATGAAGTCATGGCTGCAAGGAGAGCATGGTTCTAGCTGGATGCACCCAGCTCCTACCTTTGCACGCTCCTCCCGGGGCCCAGGGCCGCCCAGGCCTCACTCCAGGGCCATGGGGTTTGTAGAGAACCTGGGTCCCCGAAAGACAGCCCAGGGCCACTCGCAGGGACCCTCTTCCCCCTGGACTCTTGTTTGCATAAGAAGTTATCTGGGGCCATGACTGGGGCCCATCTGCATATGGAGTAAGTACTCAGTGGCCTTTAGGGGTTATGTTTAGTGTGCCGGAGGTGAGTATGGCATTCATGGCTATGTGGGAAAATCTTATTTCTCAGACATCCCCTTCCAAGTGAAATATTTAAAGGCAGAAACAGCATGGTGTCATTTGCTTTAACCTATATGAGCAAAACCTAGATTAAAGCAAATGTGATATTTAGCTACTGTAAAATTTAATAATGGGCTTAAAGCTGTTCATTAGACTTCTGTCTACTCGGATGTATCTGGCTTCATCTGCAGTAACATTCTTTAAGATTTTTTCTTCTCTGATTTTTTTTTTTTTTTTTTTGAGATGGCGTCTTGCCATGTTGTCTAGGCTGGGCTCTCGAGACCCTCCTGTCTCAGCCTCAGCAGCAGCTGGGAATACAGGTCTCCACCATTGTGCTGAGCTCTTTTTATCTTTCATGGGGCTGGAGACTAGACCCAGGGCTTCCAACATGCTAGGCAAGTGGTTTACCATTGAGCTGTGTCCCGGCAGATTCCATGAAGTTTTTAAACAGATGACCAGCACCCTGTGAGCCAGGCGGAGGGGCATTTTCTGCAGCCTCATGCCTGCCAGTCCTACACTCAGCCCTGTCCACTGCCCTGCTGGGTTGGAAGGCAGTGGTCACTGGGTGGCTGGGGACATCCAGCTGCACAATGGTGCCCAGGAGGTATCCGGGGCTTCTGGCAGCTTCACAGAAGAGCCATGTGGCACCTGCTGGCTGTCCCCAGCTGCCATGGAAGAGACAGTCCAGGTAAAGCAGAAGCCTGAGGAATGCCAGGGGAGAAGGCAGCAAATCGTGGTGGGCGCTAGAGCTGAGTAGCTGGCTGAGAGGCAGTTAAAGCAGTGAGGCCAGGTGTGGTGGTGTGAGCCCAGCACCCTGGAGGCTGAGGCAGGACAACTGCTGAGATTCTCAGGTTGCTTAACGAGTTCAAGACCACCCTGGACCACACAGTGAGCCCCTGTGTCAACAAACAAAGGCAAAGACAGGAGAGGAGGGGAGGGAAGGGGAGGGGAAGGGAGGGGAGAGGAGGGAGGGAGCACACAGGCAGTATGGGTGCCTAAGATTCTCACAGGGACGGCATGGGTTTCACTCAGAGCTACATCCGAGTAGCGCTTGCCTGAGCCCACATGGTCTCCCTGTCTACACTGCGGAGGAGGACTGGGCAGCAGCGGCAGGGATTATGAAGTCCCCTAAGTGGCCCTGAGGTAGTGACCCTACAGGGAGGCGGGTGGAAAGTCAGGGTGACAGGTGTGGCCTGCTCTTGCCCAGCCCATGTCCCCGGCACTGGGGCACTGGCACCCACCTTCCCTCTGCCAGGCACTGCCTGGGGCTCCAGAGCCCACGCAGGGACCCGTGTCACCTGTCTGGCCCGGACCTCTCTACCAACATCTCCTCTCAGGAGCTGGGGGCTGTGTGTGCACCATGGGCCCCACGACCCAAATGTGGGGCATCAGCCTCCTCAACATCGGCCATCCCACAAGGCCCAAGGGAGAATGGGTGGAGTATGGGTCTTCGAAAGTTCAGGGGCCACCAAGGGAGACGTGCAGAAGTGTGTGTGTGTCCCTAGCCAGCGCCCCAGGGGGACAGGGACCCCGTCCCTGTCCCCACCTGACCTCCCGCTGCTCACCTGCCATCACGATCCCAGTCGTACACCTCCACCTTGATGGTCCTGAAAGACAGACAGCGCTTAGTGGGACGGGCTCAGGGCCTGGGGGTGCAGGGGATAGATGGACAGACGGACAGGACAGCAGCCCCAGAGACAGAGGAACGGCCTGAGGACCTTTGAGCACAGATCTCAGGGACAGAGGCAGCCGTGGAGCCACATCCGGGCTGCTGGGAACATCAAGGATGCTGGAAACTCTGGCCCAGGCCTCAGTTCACCCCGTTTCCTCCGGGCCACCCCAGAAGATGCATCAGCCCCAGGGGGTGCCTCACTGTGCATCTTCCAGGGCCAGGAGTAGGAGCGGCCAGCCTCAGGACAGGGACCCGGGAAGGGGAATGAGACCCCCTGACAGGGCCCAGGGCCCGGCCCCGGCCGCCACCCATGCCCACGCCTGGCTCCTGGGTGAAGGGTGTAATTATCCTCACATCTTAGCCTGGCTGCTTTAATTAGTTTGTTTTGACTCCTATGCATGGGGCTGGGCTTCCAGAGCCCTTTTTTTTATTATTATTATTTTTAGCCACGTTTCCATGGCAACAAGCTAGCGGACCAGAGACAGGAGAGGTGGAGGGTTGCCGGTTAACCCTTGGTGCCTGCGGTGCTGTGCTCAGGATGCCCAGGTCCAGGGAGCCGCCAGGGTCCCCGGCAGGGTCTGGGCAGCGGGAGGGCCCCGGGGAGAGCTTTAGCCCCTAGGCTTTGGCCCCCGAAGCGCCCAAGGCAGCTCGAACTTGCTTCTTATAATCATCCGCGCCCTCCCCACGGCGCCCCTCTCCGGGCTGCCGGGAGCCAGCCTCGGGGTGCTGCGACTCCCCGGCAGGAGGCGCTGTGTTCCCGCGTTTGCGCCTCCGTCGGACTGGGGCGGCGCGAGGCAGGGGCCCTTCCAGGATGGGGGCTGGGAGGCCAGAGGTCGCGCACCCGGATTCCCCTAGCCAGGACTCACACAACCCGCGCAGACCTAGACGCAGGCTGCTTAAAGAAATCCTTGCATACTGGCAAGAAACAAAAATGTCTCTCCGAGGCGAATTATTTAGGAAAGGGGAAAAATAAGTAAACTGAGCTCCTGGAGGCGGGCTGAGAAGCTGGGGAGAGGGGGGAGCCCCTGAGCTGCAGAGTCAGACACCTGAGACTTAGTGGCTGCAGCCCCAGCTGTGTGACCTGGAGATGTTGCTCACTCTCTCTGAGCCATAAAGAAATGGAGATTGAACGAACCCAGCCCTTCTTAGTTTGAAAATCAGGACCGGGTTGTAAGGAATCTTGGGTGTCATTGCATGATAAGGGGACCAGAGAAGGTCCTTGCATCCCTCTGGCCCAGACTCCCGGCCACTGCCCCCAGGCTCCTGTCCCTCCCTGTGTCTGCCCCTCAGCTGTCCCAACACCTCTACCCCCACTGCAGGGAACCCCAGGGACCCCAGCAAGGTCCTGCTCCTTCTGCAGCCCTGCAGAGAATGAAACAGGTGACAGGGCATTCTCAGGGCCCACAGTAGGACCCAGGAGAGGTGACAGCCCCAAAGAGCCACATGTCACCAGGGAGACAGTCTTTTAAACCTCATGGTCAGAGGGACTGAGGCTGAGCCCCCCACCCCCAACCACGAGCTCTGTGTGCAGATGCAGCCTCTCTCGGACTCCAGCTTAGGTTTCCACTCTTGTTTGTGCAGTGGGTCCCTGGGGGAGCTCGAGAAATACAGCCTGATGCTTCACCCCGGAGATTCAGTATGGACTGATCCAGGGATGATTGTTAAAAGCTCCTCGGGACTCCAGGAGGCTGAGGCAGGAGGATGCAAAGTTTGAGTCAGTTTGGATAAGTTGATGGGAATAAGTTTCCTACACAATAGCTTAGGGTCAAATGGACTCAGAGCTGGGGCTGTGGCCTTGGAAGAAGGCGGGGAGAGACAGGCGCTGTGATTTACAGCTCTGCACAGTCCTTGGGCTGCCCCGGGCCACTGCAGGGGCCGCTGTCCTGACTGCTGATCACTGAGCATGGGCCGGCTCTGACCTGGGGACAGCACCCAAAGGAAAAGGCTCCTGGCTCCATGGGGACAAAGCCATCATCACATCTGGAATCAAGGCTTGTGGGCAGCAGTGAGATGGGTGAGAACAGCAGGGAAGTCCCGCACTGGCTTGACCTGCAGAGACTCAGTTTACCCATCTGTAGCAGGTCGATCCTACCCGCATCGGAGGTGCTGTGGAGGTCACTACACCAGCCACACGGTCTGCACACGCACAGCACCCCGCCCTGTCTCCAGTGGACACGCTCAGCCCCTTTCCCAAGGTCCCAGCTGTGTCTACAGGAGCAGCAGCAGCTGTGCCCCCTGCCTGGGCTTCAGCTTCTGCATGTGGGGACCGGGAACGCTGGGGTGCTCCTCACCAAGGTGGCTCTGTGGAGCCCCAGAGCTACGCTGTGCCTCCCAGGGACTCAGCGCAGGGGGACGTCCAGGAGAAACACCCGGGGGCTGTGGTGATGTTACAGCCCCAAGCTCCAGGGGGAGCATCATCCCCTTTGACCACTTCTAAAAACCTGCTGCTGTCAGTGAGCAGGGCGTGGTGGTGCACATCTGTAACCCCAGCACTCGGGAGGCTGAGGCAGGAGGAACATTGCAAGTTTGAGACCAGCCTGGGCTACACAGTGAGCTCAAGGCCAGCCTGACCTGCATATCTAGACTCTGTCTCAAAAACACACACACACACACACACACACACACAAAATCTGCTGCCAGTGTCAGAATGTGAGGGACACGCCCAACCCAGGAAGATCCGGACCCACAAGAACAAATCCTCAAGCCACAGAATGTTCAGGAGCGGAGGCTGGGGGAAGGGCTTCTGACCCTGGCCTCCTGTGCCTCTCTCCCGCACCCTCTGCTCCTGCTCTCGGTCCTCTCGGGACCACCTTCTTCTGCTCTTCCTCCAAGACTGGGATTGAACCCAGGGCCTTCACACTGAACTACACTCCCAGCCCTTCTTAGGCTTTGAGACAAGGTCCCGCTACGCTGCTAAGCTGCCAGGGCTGAGCTCAAACTTTCAATCCTCCTGCAGACCAGGGGGTGATAGCGTGGGTCCCACTTGGTCCTGTCCCTTGCTGGCTTGGACAGCATGGTGGCTGGGAAGGAGGGGACAGTGGCCTGGTGGTCCCACCCCCAACATGACCTGCCCTGGCGCCTGGCACGAACCACCTCCTGGGTGACCCTGAATTACCGGCACTGTCGGTCATGTGGCCACAGATGTGCTTCCTGCCACTCAGAAGGGAGCCACGGTGGTTCAGGCTGGGCTCTCCAGGCCCTTCCGCCTGATGCCCACCTCCCCTAGGGCCTGAGAGCCCACCCCAGCCATGCAGTTTCCTGTCCGGCCTTCCTACCCCCAGCCTGCTGCTGCCTCCTCCCGCTCTGGGAAACCCCAGGACTCCGCCAGGGGTGGTGCACCTGCAGTCGCTTTGTTTTTCTGTTTTGTTTATATCTGAGACAGGGGCTCGATCGTTGCCGAGTTGCCACAGCTGGGTTGGAACTTGCAGGTCTCCTGCCTCAGCCTCCCAGTGCTGGGATTACAGCCATGTGCCATCACAAGCTGCCAGGATGCCTGCTTTCACCCCCCATCTCGCTCTGCACAGTTATTTAGCTATTTAAAATACACAAGCAACATCCCATACCCCTCAGAGACAGAACCACAGCTGCTTGCCCTCAGGTGCCACGCGGCTGGCTGGAGGCACAATGCTGGGCGCCCATAAGGTGCACGATACTCCCTGGGGAAGGGACTGGGGCTTCCTCTCAGCCCAGCAGCAGAAAGGAGCCGCCTGTGTCAGGCACCCAGCTTTGGGGAGATGGGTAACCCCCCGCCCTGCCATGTGCCCAGTGGCCCCTGATGTCCCAGGGCCTCCTGCAGCAGCCCAGCTTCCCAAGGCTGCTGAAGGCTCGCCATCTCACCCACCTGAGGCCACCATCACCAGGACCCCGGGAGGCTCCAGGGACAGCCCAGACCAGAGCCACCCCGCAGCGCCCGCCCTCCCGGCACTGGCAGTGGGGGTAATGATGCGTTTCTCTGTCTGTGTGATTATCGGATTAACGTCGCCTCCCCACAGCGGCTGTACCCGGGAGGCTGGGAGGGTGCCGAAGGCACCATCTTCCAGCTGACTTCCCTGCACCCGGTGTGGTGCCTGCTGCGAGGCTGGCAGGGCTCAGATGAGGGGAGGAGGCGCGACACTGGCCCTGGCATCTCACACCCAGAGTCCTCTAGTACAGGGGTGTCACAGGGTCATCAAACCAACCCCAAGAAGCAGGCGGACATCCTGATGCCCACACTGCAGGTCAGGAGGTGGAGGCCCAGCAGGAGAACCCGGAACCTGGTGCCGCCCTTGATGGTGGTGATGTGGCTGGCAGGCCACTGGTGGAATCAAACACCCTGAAGCTGGCCCGAATCCTCCACCCCCCCCAAGAGGGCCACAGGGCCGGCTCCAGGTGTCCCAGAGTTCCCTGAGGGATGTCAGGGCGAGCAGGGACCACCGACTGCCTCTGCCGGTCTAATCCCTCCCCCTGCCAGGGACGCCCATCCTTCAACACCATCTTGGTTCTTGGTGGACCAGGCACCCCCAGGCTGCCACCGTGGCAGTTCCCACTGATAGTGGCAGACAGGAGGAAAGGTGTGCAGACGGGTCGGGTACAGGCAACCCCAGGAGCCCCTGCCCAGCACACACGACGGGAGGAGGGGACGCGACGGGGCGCCCCACTGCTCACCGGTCATAGTCACCGTTGCAGAGCGCCCTGACGGGGATGGAGAAGGTCTGCCACACGGGGTTCAGGGTGTTCTTCATGACCTCGGTCTTGTGGCAGATAGTGAACCTGGCCAGGGCAGAGGGAGGGGAGAGGCGTCAGGCCGGAGCCACACGGACGGAGGACACGCGGCTTCTGTCGGTGACGAGGGGACCAGACAGCTGCGGGCAGCGCCGGGGAAACATGCGCCATGCCGGGGACGCCACTGTCCCCCTCACTGCCCCGCAGGCTCCCCAGCCACCCCGCCTCAGCTCCTGACCTCCCGGCCCGGCTCCGACAGCCCCAGGCTCCTTCCCTACTTTCCATTTCATTTGACATTTTGACGGTCTATTTTTTTCCTTATTTATTCTGCTCATGATCTGCTGCTCTGTAAGAACAAAGAGTTCTGTCTTTTTTTCCCTAGACACAAGGTCTCGCCATGTAGCTCACCATCCTCCTGCCTCAGCCTCCCGAAGGCTTGGAATACAGATGTGCACCCTCTCAGCCAATGAGTTTTATCTTTTTGGATCACTGTTATGGCCCTAGTGCTTGGTACCAATGAATAAATGTATTTCTTGGGGTTTTGTAGCTCTCTTTGGCAATTATTTTTTCTTCTTTCAGTCTTTTGAGATAGGCTCTTACTATGTGGCCCTGGCTGCCTTTGAACTCATGGTCATTCTCCTGCCTCAGCCTCCTAAGTGCTGAGATTACAGGCCTGTGCCAGTGCGCCCAGCTTCCGCCTGGCATCTCAATCCAGTGAAATCAAAGCCCTGACCTGGATGGTCTCTAGGACCCCGTCTCTTGCCAGTCACCTCTGTGAACCAGCTGTGCTAACAGGGCGGAACCCAGCACCCCGCCCCACCCTGCCCCAAGAAACACCAGCCGGCCACATCTGGGAAGCCAGCCCTGCCCCCGAGCTGGGCATGTATCCCGGCACCGCCCAGCTAGGAAAGGTCTCCGGATAAGCGCCAGGCCCCGCCTGTGCCCACACAGCCTGTGCCATTTCTTCTCTGGCAATTTTCAAGTCAAAATGTCACTCCTGTCACTGAGGCTCACTTTGTCTTCTCTGCTCCTTCTCGCCCACCCACGGGAGTGGGGATCGGCGTGGGAGACCTCCCTGCACAGGCATGCGCACACACGCGCGGGAGGCTGGCCCCAGGGACATGGGGGCGTGAAGATGGGGTGGTGGGGACTGTCACCGGCCCCTAGACCTTCAGCTTCCAGCCTCTCCTCCTTCCCTTCTCTTCCCTTCCTGGGCCTGGAGCAGCCTGGCTTCCTGTTTTGCCCAGAACCATGTTCTTGGAACTCTCATGAGCCACTGTAGGGAAACCTGGGCCTCCCCCACTCTCCAGAGAGCCAGGCTTCCTGCCCAGGTCTGACAGCTGCGGGGGCTGGCACCCAGCGCGCAGACAGATGTGGCCCCAGTCCGGGCTGCTGTGGGCCAGCTGTGCAGCCCCAGACGTGCGTCCTTCCCTCTCTGAGCGTCCCTCCCGCACTGGGACGGGAGCTAAGGATGGGACACTGCCTGGCTCTGGGCCAATGCACACATCACAAGGCCCCTCCCAACGCCCGAGAAGAGGCCAGTGCTGAGCTGTCCACACAGCAGCCACCACGCTACTGAGGTCTAATTAAATTAAATTAAATGAAAAGGAGCTGGCAGCCACCCAGGGGCTTCAATGACATCCTGAGGACACCCCGGGGACCCAGGGAAGGGTGACAATGCACCCACAGCCTGAGGGCTCCACTGGGTTCCACGCACCTGAGCCGCTCAGCTCAGGGCCCGGTGGGCAGCCTGGCGGGAGCTTTTCCTGTCACCCAGCTCAGCCGTCACCAGCGGCCAACGTGATGGGGGCTGGCAGTGACGGCTGCTGTCTCTCCTGGCCAAAGATCCTCTCTCCTCCCCCAGCCCTAGAGCAGCTTCTTCAGGGCCCTGCGGGGTTCCCTGGGGTCCCAGGGCTCCTCCCCACACCCTGGGTTCCCGGCTCTGCCACCAGGGTGGAAGCTCTGACCTGTGCCCCTATGGCCTTTGCCCATGTGACCCCAACACTGAAGCTGCAGCACACCCCATGTGTCAGTCCGGAGCCTCCGCCTCGCCTCCCTCCCGCCCACGGGGTCCCCAAGGGGCGTCCCCACTGCTCCTCAACGTCCTCTTCTGGCCACCCAGCCAGGTAGGGAGGGGACATCTCTGATCGGCCAGGGCCACCTCTTCCTCCTCCTCCTCCCCCACCACAAGCCAAGGCGAAGGCAACAAGAATTATTTAAAGCAGCCAGCGTCCTCCGGTGAGACAAAGAATCTTTTTGTCATGCAAATGATCACACCTAATTTCCCATTTTGCAGCTCGGGTTTTAAAAATCAGTTTTCGCTGGAACTGAAGCCGCCACCTCCTCCTCCTCCCTGACGCTGTCACAGGCACGCACACTCACACCCGCGCACACTCACACCCATGCACACTCTGCACTTTGGAGTGCAGGGAGCCCGAGGGCCCAGTGTCCTCCGCACACACCTGCTGGCACCTCTCCCTCCGCCCGCCCGGGACCCCCTGTCTCCCTCTCCCTCCAAAGCCACTTCTGGCCTCTTCGGTGACAGCAGCTTCTCCCATGAGCCCCCCGACCTGCTTTCCTCTCCTGCAGAATCCCACCCTGGGCCCCACCAACTGGTTCACTCAGAGGAAGGAAAAAGCAGGCCCAGAGAGGGGCTGTGACTTGCTGGGGTCACACAGCGGGTCAGAAGGGCATGGAGGTCCTAGAACTTGGACCCAGAACCTGTTTTGCATGCGTAGGGCTGCCCAGCACCTGTCCCCGGGCTGTGCGTTTCTGTTACAGCTGCCAAACTGGGTGGCCAGCAGCAGGGTCAGCCCAGAGGGCTGTGGGGACGTGGCTGGCTGTCCTGGCTTGTGCAGGACAATGAACAGGCTCAGCCAGGAGTCTCATGGGGGGCCGGGCCCCTCATTCCTGCTCACCTACCAGAGACACATCTGGCACCCACCACGGCCGATACCCCCCTCCATGGCATGGGCCCTGGAGGTGGCCCCACCCGCTGACCCAGCTCTTCAGCGGGGCGCCATAGGGGGTATCGGAAGCAGACACCGGGCCAGCGGCCACAGGGCCACTCCCCGCCCACGGAGGCACAGCAACTCACGTTCCATCCTCGTTGCTCCGGTAGAACACCAAGAAGGGGTCAGACTTTCCGAAAAAGTCCTTCTTGTCCAGCTTGTTGGCACAGAACTGCATGGTGGCCACGTCCTGGCAGAGAAGGGAGGGGAAAGGACCTGTGAGGTGGGGGGAACAGGAGCAGCAGGGACCCCAGGGAGCCTGAGGCCCCAGGCAGCACCGTGATCACCAGGGCAGTGCCACCCTGAACTGCAGGACCCTCCTGCCTCGGCCTCCCAAGTACTGAAATGGCTCATAGCCACCTGGACAAGGGCGCTGACAGTCCTGATCCCAGTACTGGTTTACTGAGTGGCTCCAAAGGGTGAAAGGTGACCCAAGCCCACTCTGCCAGTCCTGAGGCCCCCCCTACCACACACACTGGTGTGGTTTTGGCTGAAGATCCATCTGTTCCCACCGGGGCCGGGGCCCTGCTCACAGCCAGGAGCCCACACAGCGGGGCAGCTTCCCTCCTTCACCAAACAGAGCCACATCCGGCACCCCAGCCCAGGCTGCTGCACCCCCTCGGACCCCAGAGCTGCCAGGCCTGGTGTGGGTGGCAGGGCCCCAGCCCTCAGTGTCCGCACCCCCTGGGTGCACCATGGTCTCTGGGCACGGGGCACAGATGCCCCCGTCCTCTCCATCCATCCCCACGTGCTATGAAATGAATTGGGGCCACCTGCCCAGCACGGGCTCTGTGCCGAGTCCCTGGGCCTGGGCTGCTCTCCACCCGCCCTCCACACCACTGTCCTCTTATGGGGGTGACCCACAGCCCAGGGAGGACCTGATGGCAGCCGAAGGACACAGACCACCCACAGGCTGAGCCGGGTGTGGTGGCACAGTGGTGAGTGTGCCCGCCGAAGCCCCTTCCTCACTAGCTGTGTGACCTAGAGTAAGTTTCTCACCCTCTCTGGGCTGTTTTCTTGTCTGTAAAACGAGGCCCAGCACACCCACCTCACAGGGTGAGGATAAAACACGTTGATGGAGGGGCCGATGCTGGGGGAGGCCTGTGGAGCGCTGACATAGGCAGTGCCACCCGCCCTTCCCCTTCCTCCGCCCAGCCCACATCCTGCCCCCTCCGACTGGTTGGGTGAGACGGTGCCCTTCATCACATTTAGCCCTCAAAACAACCAGGGAAGAGGGATCTGGGTCCCTCATGGTGGGGATCTGATTTTTGAGTCTTGCTCTCCGCTGGCTCACAGCTCAGTGCCCACCAGCTGGAGCAAACCCAGGGTGAGGCCAGGGCTGGGGGCTTCCGGGGGCTCAGGCGCCATAGTCTTGGGGGAGCAGGGACTTCTCGGGGGGCCGCAGCACTCAGAGGCCGTGTGGCTTCTGCATCGCTGCCCTGTTCCCCACCTGACAGGAGCCTGCCGAGGTCTCTGGAGGCCGAGCTCTGTGCCATCCACCCTCCTCCTGGCTGAGGCAGCCTCACAGCCAGGACAGCAGGGGCCCCGGGACAGCAGGGGAGTTCTGAGGCCAGGGCCAGCCCTGCCCGGCAAGGAGCAGAACTCTGAGGGCCAGGGCAGCACCTCAGGGCCAGTCACACCTGACCCAGGCACCTACTCTGCCAGGCCCAGGACCACCTGGCAGGACCCCAGCACTGCTACCTACCCGCCCTCTTCGGTGAGGTCAGACAGGAATCCCAGTAGCCCCGAGCCTGCTGGGAATGTCCCAGGGGATGGCATAGACTAAGTCCTGGTCTACGGTGCCCACGTGAGACACCGCAGCTGGGAGCAGAGGGGTTGCCAGGGCAGAATGCTACCCACTACTGCGTTGAACCACGTGCAATTGCTAATCATCAACTGAAACCAGCGATAAGCCTGGCACGGTGGTGCACGTTTATAAACCCAGCACTTGGGAGGCTGAGGCAGGAGGATCCCTTGTTCAGATCCAACCTGTAATACACAGTGAGGCTCTGCTTCAAATAAACAAAACAAAAACACAATATAAACCAGGTGTGGTGGCTCACGCCTGTAATCCCAGCACTCGGGAGGCTAAGGCAGGAGGATCGAGACCAGCCTGGGCTACAAAGTGAGCTCAAGGCCAGCCTGAACTGCACAGAGAGACCCTGCCTCAAAAAGACAAAAAAAAATAATAATAATAATAATAATAATAGGGCTCTATCTAATGTGTGGCAGCTACTATAATTTATATCTATAATTCATTTACTCTCCCCAACAACCCCATGAGGCAGAACTGTTTTTTGTTTTTGTTTTTTTGGTAACGGAGATCACATTCATGACCTCTCACTTGCCAAGCAGGCACTTGTGCCACTGAGCTAAACCCCTGGCCCCAGGTACTGTTATTATTCTCATTTTACTTATTTTTATTTTGATTTGTAGATACCAGGAATCGAACTCAGGACCTTGTGCTTGTCAGACAGGCACTGCACCACTGAGTGACATCCCTGGCCCTGTTATTCCCACTTTAAAGGACAGAAAACTGAAGCACAGAAAGAAGCCACACAGCCAGGGAGCAGGGAAGGAAATGGAACCAGACTGTCTGGCTCCAAAGAGGAGTCACTGCGATTCTAAAAGCGAGCCCCAGAATCATGAGGGTGAGTTTAATGATGTTCTACAGCGTTCGCCGGAGAAGGCAGAGAAGTGTGAAATCCATTTAGAAAGGCCTCCGTGCAAGCCGGCTGAAATTAAAGTAAGATGGAATAAAAACCCAGGCTCTGCAATTCAGCTAACCGGAAAAACCCACTCCACTCCCTGCCGATGGCAGGGCAGTGAGGCTCCCGAAGGGCTGGGGTCTCAGCACCCCGGACCTGCACCCCCAAAATGACCGAGACCCTGGGCCACGCCGCTGTCACTGCTGCACCATGGTAGAACCCACGGGGACCGGAGAGACCTTCGGACAGGTGACCAGGCCGTCACCCTGGCGGGTGCCCACCTCCATACCAGGGCCTCGGCTGGGGCTGTGCTTCTGGTTTTGCCTGCAGCGCTGGGTGGAGCCCAGGCCCCCACTGCTGTGCCGGGCGAGGCTGTACCGGCACCCTGGCCCAGGCCTGGGGGTGGCCTGAGCCACATGGACAGCCCCAACCCTGTCTCTGTCACTTGTGGTCACTCAACAGCTCAGACCCTTGCTGCCGGAAAGCAGGTGGGGCAGGAGTGACAGGGAGGACAGAGGTGGCTGGGGCGCCCAGGAACGGTGCCAGGGGCCCTCGAGGGGTGCTCCAGGCACGTGGGATGCTGTCCGTGTGGTCCCCGAAGCCTCGAGGGAAGCAGCCGCGGGGATGATAAAGCTCCCCTGATCTATAATTCCCTGCAGTTTCTGCTTTTCCCCCGTCTTAGCTCTTCTGAGACAGCAGGTTGCTCCGCGGGCATCTCCCCTCCTCCGGGGGCCTCCGCCCACCCCTGCTGCCGAAGCCCCCGTGGCCGGTGGGGTCAGGGCCAGGAGGGGCTGCGGACTGGGGACAAGGCAGCAAGACCAGGAGAGGAGGACGGGCAGGGGCGGCTCTCACTGGGGCCCTGCTGGCCTCCAGGGTCAGGAGGATGCAAACTGAGGGGCCTCCCGGTGCCAGCAAGCCAGACACACATTCTAATGTGATATTTTGAAAAAATTAAAATCAGTGCTTTTGTAAACCCCATGATAAGCAAAATAGCAAATGTTCAAATAAAGATCTTTCTAAACCAATGAGACAAAGAAGGCACAGAGGCGTCAGGTCATCTGCCCAGGGTCACACAGCCAGCGAACAGCCAGACTTGGAACGGATCCAGAGGCCAGGTTCTGTCCCCGCTTCCCCCAGTACTGGGAAGTGAATCCAGGCTTTGCACTGAGCTAATCCCTGGCTCTTCTGATCACTCTGAGACAGGGTCTCATGAAGTTACCCTGGCTGGCCTCAAACTGCTTCCGGCCTCAGCCTCCCGAGCTGTGGGGATGACAGGAGGGCGCCACTGTGCCCGACCAGAGCCCTGGCTCATGGTCACAGGCCCCGCCACTCACCAGCCACCCCCTTGAGGCACTTTCCCACAGAGTGGGACTGCAGGGACCTTTACCGTCTTCTCTGTAAAATCTGATGGGTTTCCTAAATTTTCTGGACTCAGCACATTGTGCTTTTTATCAGAAAAGAAAGAGAAGCTATCAACTAAAAAGAAAAGAAATTCTTTGCCACTATCCTGAATCCGGCACCCAACAAGGCCACCAGAAGCTGGGATGATCTGGGAACAGGACTTGGGGGGGCAGGGACCCAGGCTGGAAGAGACTCCGGGGAGCCCAGGATGTCCCCGCCTCCAAGCTGGGCTCCTTCAAGCCCTGACACTGGCCACTTCACAAATCCCCTGGGTGACCGCTGCAGTCAGACTGTCCTGGGTGCCTTGAGGACCAAGACCCAAACAACCCAGGCTGCTGCTGTCCTCCACTGGCTGCGATCTCAGGGTGGCCACCCTCCCTGCCGCTCCCCATGCCCAAGCTATGGCACCTGTGGCAGCTCACAAGGGCCAAGGCGCGGGTGGAGGCTGAAGATGTTCCCTGCCGGATTGTTTACATTTTCCTGCAGAGATCAACCCATCACGGCCCATCTGGACCAGACAGGAGGGACAGACGGCCGTTAGACACATGTTTTCTGAGACCGTCTAACAACACGTGAAAACACAGGCTAGAAAACTAGATACCCAGCCAGCAGCACACCTGTAAACCCGACACTCTGGGAGGCTGAGGCAGGAGGATCGAAAGTTTTGAGCCCAGCTTGAGCGGCTGAGTAACTCAGCGAGATACTGCTTCAGAATAAAAATTTAGAAATTAAATAAAAAAGACTCAGAGTGGCAACAAAAAGAAACAGGAAAAGAAAATATATCCTTAATACCACATTATACCAATTAAAACAAAAAATACACAATATACACCCAGAAAAAGCCTCAGGAAATACATTAAAATGTCAGGAGCAATTACCTCTGGGTGATTTCCTTTGTCTTTTTTTCTTCTTCTTCCTTTGTTTCCCTCTTGGTGCCGAGGTCAGCCCCAGGGCCCCACACATGTGGGTAAGAGCTCTGGCACCGCGCGGCACCCCCAGCTGCCGACTTTCCTGATCTTTCTGTTTTTCTGTCTGTTCCAATTTATCCACAATGAACATGCTAATTTTTTTTTTTTTTTAGCACCAGGAGAAATGTTTTTGTTTGCTTTCCTTTTTTTTTTAAACCACAGAGATTATTTCTGACTAAAAAATTATAGACTAAGCTTTAAAAAGCCGCTGTCTGAATGCTGGGTATTCATTGTGCCGGATGTTCCTACCCGGTTCCAGCCACAACACGGAGCTCCCCCTGTACGACGCTGTCTACCTCAGTCTCAGGGAAGCTTCCCACCCCCACTTTGCACTAACCTCTTTCTCCCATCTCACTCCCGCTCCTCACTCAGCCTCCCAAAGAGAGCTGGCTCTCCCCACAGCTGCCTGCTCCAAGGGTCCACGTGGCCCAAACTCTCCCCATCCTCACCTGCAGCCTCACCTGTCTCCTCAGCAGCCATCATCACTCCCTGACCCCAGGGCCTTTGCACACGCTGTTATCCCTCCCTAAACCCAGTGTAGCTAGCTGCAAGGACTCCTTCTCCCCTCGGTATTTGGATATGGAGTAGCTGTGAGTATTCCTTCAGGGAGAAAGTGTGTTAGAAAATAGGGGGTATGAAAAGAAGGCAGGTGCACCAGGGGTGAGGACCACAACTGGAAAGGGACCCTGACTGGCATTTCTGCCCTGAATGCTAAATGGGAAGCTCAGTCAAGATGTACAGTAAACAGGGGACAACTAGAGGGTCACAGCCCCCAGGGGAACCTGTGCAGTGAGCCCCTCAGAGGCAAGGCCATCAGCACCACCACCCCTGGGGGCCACCTAGGAGGCAGGATGTCTTGGACCAGAGCCAGGCAGGTCTGGGTGCCTGGCAGGATGCAGGAGCCAAGGAGTCCGGGCTCTCTCTGCAACCCGAAAGCTGTGCTGCCTCTGAGGGCCCCCTCTGAGGGCCACCAAACCCCACAGAGCCCGCTAGGCCCACAAATGTCCCACACAATGCAAAGCGGGCTCCCCGCTGAGGCTCTGGGGTCCTGGTCCTCTTAGGGTGCAGCATACACTCTGCATCTTAACAGGCCGCTCACACACACACCCCCCCCCCAGCCCCCAGCTCTAAGCCAGAACCCAGTGAGAGCACAGCGGCGTGGTGGCCCACGCCTGGCATCCCAGTACTCGGGAGGCTGAGGCAGGAGGATCACCACAAGTTCGGGTCAACCTGAACTGCACAGCGAGACTCTGTCTCCAAAAACCTCACACACACACACACACACACACACACACACACACACACACACGAGAGAGAGAGAGAGAGAGAGAGAGAGAGAGAGAGAGAGAGAGAGCGCGTAAATACGAGGCTCTGAGCACGGAAGGATCTGGAAAAGTCAGCAGCACTGCCGGCCTCAACAGACTCCTGAAACTCGGTGCTTAATGAAAACAAGGGAACCAAGCGGGCTGCAGAGGCGCCCCTGGAAGGGCCCCCCGCCGCCGGTGGTCGCTCATCCTCGCCACCCACGCGGGCCTGTGGATGCCGGGGCCGCGCTCACGCGGGCAGGAAGCCCCGCGCCGCGCCCCGCCCTCTTCCTTTGATCCCCGACTGAATGCAGAGCGGGAGAGGAGCTGCGCTCCGATGTAATTACTTTAATTCAGCCAGATGCCGGGAAGTCAGCTCTGCTCCTCGCAAGGATTCTAAGGAAAGACAGCTCAGCAGGAGGAGAGGCGCTGACAGCCTGGGGGGGACCCCTGGCGCGGGAAGAGCTTAAAAGGGGGAGCTGCAGCATCCCGGGGTGCAGCGAGGGGGGGCAGAGCTCTCAGACTGCACCGGCCCTGGAATGGGGGACCAGCCGGGGATACTGTCCCGGCCTCCGGGATGTTCATCCTAAACCGGGAGGTGGCTGGGAGCCTGGAGAGAAACTGTCCGGGGCACCTGTGACCTTGTCACCTGCTGCCACCTCTGATCTTGTGTCCTGCCCGCCACAGCTCAGCTCCCACCAAGGAAGGAACCTGAGCTCAGTGCTGGGACGGCGCCCCCACCCCCACCCCGTCATGACAGTCATGCGGTTCTCTGGCAGAGCCTTGGGGGACGTGGGAGTCTCTGTTATTACCCACGGCTGAGCATTTGGGGACAGATCCCTCGAGGAACACCTCCCTGCCGAGAGCCCTACACTGCCAGCACATGCTGCCAGGTCACTGCACCACCCAGCCTTCCAAATCTATTTTCTGCCTTTCTTCTTTCTTGCTGTTGCTGAGACAGGGTCTTGCTGTGCAGTTCAGGCTGGCCTTGACCCCACATGTAGCCCATGTTGACCTCGAACTCCCAGTGATCCTCCTGCCTCAGCTCCAGAGTGATGGGATGGCAGGCGTGTGCCAACAGGCCCAGCTGAAATTCCAGTTTCTTTAGCCTATTTATTTTTGCAGTTCATTAACTTCAGCCCCTTCACATCGAGCTACGTCCTCTGCACTTCAAACCAATTTTCTTTCTAAGTTTTGAGTCAGGTTCCTACTAAGTCACTATATTGCCCACACTGGGCTCACACTTGCAGTCCCCTGCCTCAGCCTCAGAGGGCTAGGATCACGGGGTGCAGCCTCACGGCCAGCTCTGCTTCTGAATGCCCTGTTCTTCCAAGAAGCCAGATATCAGAGATATCAGAGGTTTAAACTGTGTAAGACGCGACTCCTCTTCTTATTAAAGAAACTGTGCTCTAGAAAATTTGTTTATTTTTCAGGAAGCATGTTACTAATGCTAACCTATCACACGTCAACTGCTGTCATTTTAAATGAACACATAACCTCAGATCGCTCTGCGGTGTGGTGAGTGCCAGCAGGGGCTGATGGGGTGGCAGCGCCCACCTGGAAAGATCCAAAAGTCTCCTTTCTCCTCCTCACCATCCCAGCCCCAGGACATCTCAGGCTGAGCCTCGGCCTGGCACCTGCCCCTGTGCCTCGGTCCCATGCCCTCCCCTCCTGGGGTTCCCGATGGACCTGAGAGGCCCTCAAGCCGGGCAGTTTGGGGGATACGCCCTGATTTTAGAATCAAGCTGACCTGGGTCGGAACCATTATGGTCCTGGAAGAGGTGACTCGGCCTCTCTAGCGGGCAGTACAGAGCGCCGGGCTTGTCACTGGGAGGAGTGGGGGGAGTTATGTGACCTGTCCCTGGACAGGTAATCAGCGTCATTACCGGGGCTCACCATCATCACAGGCCATCGGGAGCCCGAGCCCTTCCTGTGTGCTCAGCGGCCCTGGGGTCCCCACCTCCTCCTCACCACAGTCTCAGGAAAGGCAGAAGCTGGGTTTGCCTGGGCCTTCGGACTCCAGCTGTCAGCGTGAGCACACATACGCACGTGCACACACGCACACACAAGCTTTCTCCCTCCACTCTACCCCAGAGATAACAGTTAAGAATGACAACCAGGTTCAAGCACCAGGCCCGAGAGGCTCCTGCATCCCCGGGGCTGGTGCCAAGGCAGTCTGGGCTTAAGGACACACAGGGACAGTCAGAGGCACTGGCACAAGGGCTGTGTTCACGTCTCCTTGGCCTCCGGCTGCTCTGGTGTAACCGGATTCCCGGCCAGCTGGGTCACACTCCCGGGACCCTGCGTGCCCTCGGGTCCCTTTGCAGGGAAGGGTTACTGGGAAACCACCCTGGCCCCTGGCCCACGCCCTCCAGGTCTACCCTGCGGTCCCCCTGCCACTCACCCGACAGTTGCTGAGCTCCTCGGCCGACAGGATGATGGTGCCACATTTCTTCCCCGGGACACCACTGGAGGACAAGAGCAGAGCATGGAGGGCAGGCCAAGCCAGAGCCCTGCGGTCTCCAGGAAGCGGCCTCCCACCCAGCCAGCTGCTCTGCCCCAGGACCCCAGGGAGGACCGCACCTCGAGAGCCCAGAGCCACAGCAGGGCGGCCTCTGTGCCCCTGCCTGGGCCTCAGGGGCTGCCCCACCCCTGTACCCAGAGCCCTGGGGCAGCGGGGCCTGCAGCGGAGCCCTGGAACCCTGAAAGCCTCCAGACTCACCCGGAAGCCTCCGGACCAGCGGTTCTCAAACCTTCCATCCAAAGACCACTTCTGTGGGCAAAAGACCTTGTGGGCCGGCCACCCTCCCCGCCCCGCTGATCCAGGGCCCCAGGTCCCTAAACACTCCAGCCCCGCTGCTGTGACACTGCAGGGGAAAGAGGCCTAGCAGCGGCACCTCCCTGGGCCCCGCCGGCGGTCTCCCTAGGGGTGACTGAGCCTGGCCCTGCAGAGGATCCCCGCTCAGTTCCAGCTGGGGGACCCCGCCACCTCGTCCCCTCATCAGGTGGGCCTTCCCCCACGCTGATCACCAAGTCACCCCACTCTGGGGCCAAGCCGGGTTGTGGAGAGGGACCCAGGGGAGTCAGGGGTCACTAGGAGGGAGAAGAGGTTAAAGCATTAGGCTGGGGCAGCCGTGTGATGCGGGCTCATCACCACACGTGGCCCACACAAGCATGACACCCAGAGCCCACAGCCTGCCGCCTGGGGAACACGCTTTGTGAACACTGATGCGAGGCTGGGGGGAGGGGCGGGGGGGGCAGGGCAGGGCCCCATCTGGAGCCTCTCCTGGCTGAAGCGGTGCCCCAGGACGAAGCCCTCCCGCCCTGGCCCCTACGCCATGGTAGTAAAGACGGACTGGGGGGCCAGGCAGAGACTCCTCGACAGCAGCCTCCTCCGCCCCGAGTCTCTCCATCTGTTCCTCGCCACCGCAGAGTCCTCCTTCTATTTCTGAACTTTCTCTCCCTCCTTCTCCAGCCCAGCCTGCTCCCACCCACCGCCCGCCACTGGCCTTCCTTCCTGAGCCGTCTCCTCCCTGGCTGATGCCCCACCAGGCCTGAGTAAATGGAAACTGGAGGGCCTGTCCCCATCCCAGCAGGCCCCCCCACAGTCCACAGGCAAGCCAGAGGGAGGCAGCCAGGGCAGGTGACAGGCAGGGGACAGGTAGGGACAGGCGGGCTGCACACACACAAAGCAGCCCGAGCACACTAGCAGTGCTGTGGGCAGTGTGCGGGGACTTGCCAGCCTGCTGAGGCAGGAGGAGGCTGCATCAGCCGGGTACAAAGAAGGCAGGGGAAGGGGTCCCTCTCCTCTTCCTCCAAGTCCCAGGGCTCCTAGGGCCCTGGATGCTCCAGCCTGGGCTGCCTCTTGACCAGGGCCCGGACTTGGCCACTCTTGGTGGAGCTGGCTGGGTGTCAAAAGACACCAGGGCCAGAGACAGCTGTGACCTACCCGTTGGATACGGCTGGCATGGGTTTGCCCGTCCTGGAGTTCAGGCTGAAGGCTCCTATGCTGTGGATAGAGGAAGAGAGAGGGCTGGCTGTGAGCGCAGGACGGGGCTAGTGGCTAGTGGCCAGGGCACCTGCCGGGCAAGAGAAGTGCACTGGGGACAGAACAGGACCGGAAGCTACAGCCTGGGGGCGGGAAGGGGGCTTTCCCAGGCTATGTGATTCCAGAGGTTCTCAAAGTGGGGTCTCCAGACCAGAAGCATCAACACCCCCCAGAAACATGTGTTCTCAGCCTCCACCACACCCACCCCGGGCAGAGGCCCTGGGGGTGCATCTGCCCCTGCAGGCCCTTCTGCCTCCTGCAGAGACAGAACCACGACTCAAGTGCCGGGCTGTGGGAAGACAAGGCTGCTGACTGACCTGGGATCCCCTGACAGCACAAGCTGCGCCCCCACCCCCAGCAGATTCACGCTGCAGTCCGGTCCTCGATACCTCAGAATGAGGTTTAATCATGCCAGCAGCTAAACTCAGAACAGAACCTCTGGGCGGTAAAAGGGCCACCTCCTCCAGCCTCAGTCCCAGCTCCTGGTGCCCTGTAAGGCCCAGCATGCCAGCCGGCTAGGGGGACATGTGCCCTGCACCCACTGCCCACCCCAGCATAAGGGGCCAGTGGCAACGGACAGACACAAGCCTGAGTGACTCCTGGGTGCTGGACCGGAGAGGTCAGCCAGCTGGAACTGTGAAGACAGCCTCACTGCCCGGTGGGTGTCTCCTCTCTACTGGGCCAGGGCCACCGAGGCAGGAGGGAGTAGGAGGGGCTGCAGGAAGGATCAAAAGCCACAGATGGGCCACTCCTAGTGCCTAAGTAACAGGCCACGGGGCAGATGTTCTGTGCCCACTCCCCCTCAGCCCTTCCAAGGATGGAGAAACAATAGAAAGTTACAATTAAAAATGGTTAAGGAAGCCGGGCGCAGCGGCGCACGCCTGTGATCCTAGTTGAGGCTGAGGCAGGAGGATTACTGCAAGCTTGAGCATACCAAGTGTGTTCAAAGCCAGCCTCAACAGCATAGTGAGACCCTGTCTCAAAAAGATAAAAAAAAAAAAATAGATTTAGGAGCCAGAGATGATGGCACATGCTTATAATCCCCAGCTACACTAGAGGCTGAGGCAGGAGGATCGTAAGTTCAAGACTAGGCCAACTGGTAAAACCCTGTCTCAATAAAAAGGGCTGAAGATGACACTCAGTGATCCTTGAGTCTATCCTCAATACTGCTATCACAGCTACCCCCCCATGAAAAAAAAATCTTAAAAAGCAAGTTTGAGTAGGGCTGGGGATTTAGCTCAGCAGTGTAAGCACCTGCCTGGCAAGCATGAGGTGATGCCTTCAATCTCCGGTACAAAAAAAAAAGTTCAGGAATGTTTGAGAGCCCTTAAGTCCTGGCGAAGTGAGAGCTATTATCATTGTTTCCTGGGAACGGGAGACGGGGCTTCTCAGGGTCACAGAGACCTTCCCAGGCTCAGAGAGGGCCCGGGAGAGAGATGCACTCAGGCACAGCCATGGGCACACACATGAACCACCACTACGGACACTGACCAGTGGGAACGTGGCTGCAAGCAGGAGTGGGTGCCCGTCCCCGCCTGAACCCCTTTCCCGCCTGCCCTGCCTGGGGCTTCAACACCTGTCCCATCAGCAGGATGCTCTTGCCCGGACCCTGTCTCTGGTGCCTGCTCAGAAATGGGACAAGACAGGTCCCCTGGAGGTCTTTGCTGGCCTGCAAAGCCACCCTCAGGCTTCTCTGCGAAGAACCTTGGGGTCCTGCACCCCGAAGCCCGCTCGGAGTAGCAACTGTGCCCCCAAAGCACCTTGAATCCTGCCATGTAGACCGATCGGGTCAGGGTGGGATGGGAGGCCCTTGGATAACCTGAGATCTGCACTGGCTCAGTCTAGCCCCAGGTTCAAACCCAAGCCTCCCACCTGCCGGCCGTGTGGCCGTGTGGCTATGTGGCCTTAGGCAGGTCACTTCTCTTCCCTGGCTTTAGTTTCTTTCTCCATACAAAAATGGAGGTCAGGTACCAGCCAGGACTTCCCAGGGGTGTGGGGCTCTGCGAACCCAGCCTGGGCTCCCCCAGATGACCCGTGGAGTCTCCTTATTCTTTTTTTTTTTTTTTTGTATTTTTCGTTTTTATCGGTACCAGGGATCGAACTCACGACTGCCTGCTTACAAGGCAGGCACTTATGCCGCTGAGCTAAATCCCCAGCCCCAGTCTCCTTATTCTTGACTGCCCTGCAGATGCCCACCGTGATTCGCAGCTTCCCTGCCTTCACCCTCCGCCTGCCCTGAGCAGGGTGGGCAGGAAGTTGGCCCGTTCCGGGGGAGGCAGCTGGACAGGACACTCCCCTCAACCCCACACACTTACGTGAGAGGCTTCTCCAGGCGGCTCCCCGAGGACCCCACAATCTCTCCAAGGGTGCAGAAGGCTTGGCCCAGGAAATCCTGCAAACCCAGGGCACACATGAGGCCGGTGTCACCTCCTCTGCTCGTGGCCACCTCCCTACCCCCAGCATTGGGCCCCTGGTGGGGTCTGAAGTGAAAAGACACAGCTTGGGACACAGGCTGCAGCACGCAGCCCGAGGCGAGCCAGAAACGCGTTTAAGGAATGTTCCAGCCAGGCACAGTGGTGCACGCCTGTGATCCCACCACTCAGGAGGCTGAGGCAGGAGGATCATTGCGAGCTCAAAACCAGCCTGGCTACAAAGTAAGCACAGTTTAAGGCCAGCCTGAGCTGCATAGAGAGACCCTGTCTCAAAAAGGCAAAAGAAAAAAAAAATGTTCTGGACGCGCCAGGGTTGGGGCTGGGGTGGGTGCAGGAGGACTCACATGTTTGGATAAATCGGGGCTCTTGGAGTCCACGTCATACCTGCAGGGAACACAGACACGTGTGAAGGCAGGACGGATGCCCTGCCCGGCCATGCCTGGGCGCCTGGGGACAGCAGGGCCCTTCTGGGCCGATGGCTGAGAGGCACAAGGGTGCCTCCAGGGTAAAGAGGTGCAAAATCCAGTCCCATGGTGGGTGCCTTACCACAAGGGCCTCTGGCACCTGGAGGAAACCCCAAAAGCCAAACAGATGGCGCTGCTGCTCAGCCTCCACTCCTTCCCCACATCCCAGCCAAGGCTCCGCTCCAGGCAGCTCACAACCTTGCCCTGGGCCTCCCTCCCTCCATTCACCATACCCAGGCTGCCCGCCTGCCCTGGGCCTGGGCACTCACCATGGAGGGAGATGCTGGCACACTCAGCTCAGCGGCAGGCAGGCTGACCCTGCGACTCTGCTCCTCCCTCACCTGGCACAGTCTGCCCACCTGGTACAGTCTGCCCACCTGTGCCTGCTCACCTGGCACAGTCTGCCCACCTGTGTCTGCCCACCTGGTACAGTATGCTCACCTGGCACAGTTTGCCCAGCTGGCACAGTCCGTCCACCTGTGCCTGCCCACCTGGCACAGTCTGCCCACCTGCCCACATGGCGAAGTCTGCCCACCTGGCACAGTTTGCCCACCTGGTACTGTCTCCTCCCCTGTGCTCCTCCTCCAGCAGGTCCACCCACCCTTGGGCCTCTCTGCACCACGACAGCCTTTCTAGGCTCCTGAGGGCGCTGTCTGGAGCACCTCTCCGCTGGGAAATGTCACTGGGGCACCACCTCTGTGTGGGCACTGCATTAGCTCGGCCTCAGCTCTCACTGCCCCAAGTCCCTGGCTCCTCAGGCCACGAAGTCCTTCTTTCCTGCCCTGCCCACTCCTCTCCACCTCTCTCCCCACCGACACCCCTAGAAACAACAGCCCCCCCTGCCCGATCCACAGGCCTGGGTGCCCACCCACCCAGTTTACTGCAGGAGGGGCCTTGCCCTCTTCCTCATGGGTGCATGGGCCCCTGGGGGAGACACAGAGATCCCCCAGAACACCCTGCAACAGAGAGGCCAGCAGGTGCCCTTTGGGTACCTCGGGAACAGAGCCGGGGTGGCCAAGATAGCTTCTCAGGGCCACACCCAGAGCTGGGCCCAGGCAGCTTTCCTAACCCTGCTTTTACCAGAGCCCAAAGGGGAGCGATACCTTGGTTCCTCCCCTCCACTCCCTCCCACGAGGGACTTCAGCCCCTTGTTGCCTCTATCCCGCCTGCTCCCCGCAGAGCCCAGCTCCCGCTCCCCTGCAGGACCCCCTCCACTCACAGGTCGAAGCGGAGGTTCTGCTTTTCCTCGAAGAAGTAGTCAACAATGAACTTGCGCACAAAGTCGGGGTTCAGCGTGTTGTCGATGACCTCTGTGCGCCCAAACTGCAAGAGAAGGTGGTTACCCTGCCTCTAGGGCTCCCATCCCCGTCCCCTCAGATCAAGGGAGCCAGGTGTAAGCTCTTCCAACCTCCCCACCGCCTCATCCTCCCCACCCAGCTCCGATCCTGTCCACACAGCCCTTCCTGGCCTGTGCCCCTCACAGCCTTTCCTCTCCAACAGTGACCATGTCCCCAGCCCCCAATGCCGAAATCACTTCGGGGGGATCTGGGAAGCCAGCCCTGCCCTGCTGACCTCCCTGGAGAGGACAAGGGCCCAGCACACCTTCACAGCAGCACGGGGGCCTAAGTCGGAGGCCCAGAAAGGCTGCCCCGGATCCTGACCTCTGGAAGCTGCAGTTCTGGGTTGTCCATCCCTCAGCCCTGAGTGACCAGCACTACACTGAACGTGCCTGGTTTTGGTTCAAGTCCAGAGCTCTGGGCACAGTAGATGCTCAAAACCTCAATCGCAGGAAACTCCCCAAACCATCCCAAGCAAGTCATCCCCAACTCTGGGGGAGCCCCCTCCGCCTCCTTCCACCTTTGGGAATCGCGTAGAGGAACTCCAACTAGACCTCACTCCCGGGGCTCCTGCTTAGCAGACCTGGAGCCAGGTCTGGGAATCTCCATTTTACAGACGCACAACAGGCTGAAGGAATTAAGCCTGACAAGGGAAGGACCTGCAGCAGGAGCTCAGAGCCTCAGTCCCATGAGAACACGGAGAACACTCATCCTGCTTCCTTCTGGACCTGTCACTCATTTCGAGGCACTCTGTTTTTTGGTCTTCTGAGATAGGGTCTCACTATGTAGCTCAGGCTGACCTTGAACTCACATCAATCCTCCCGCCTCAGCCTCCCGAGTGCTGGCGTTACAGGAATGCACCCCAATGCCAGGCATCAACCCAATTTTCTAAGCCAGACAGTATGCTCGGTGTTGAGCTATACAGATGAACAGAACAAGCCCCACAGGAGTCCTCTCCACGGGGGTGCAGCTCAGAAACAACCAGACACAGATGGCTCGTGGGGCCCAGAGCGGCACTGAGAGGCACCAGGCAGGGTCCCTGCCCGGGACTGCAGCTGAGACTTTGCACACCCTCGGGGAAGTGCAAAGATGAAGAACTGGGTACTGAGTGCTTTGCCTCAGGCAGGAAATGTGCCCGCGAGGTCTGGTGTGCCCTAAGATGAAGCTGGCAGAAGGTGCCTGGGTCCTGGGGTGCCACCTTCATTATCTGATGGCCTCATACCCTGATTACTGAGACAGGTGAGCCCGGGTGAAGGGAGTGGGTGACGGGATACATCCTTGAGGACCATATCTTGGCCCTGACCTTCTCCTCTGATCCTTTCCCTTTCTCTCTGCTTCCCAGCCACCACGAGGCCACCAGTTTTCCTCCACCACACCCTTTCACCACGTGGTTTCTGCCTCACCCCAGACTTGCCACAATGGGGCCAGTCAGCCATGGCCTAGACCCTCTGCAGCCGTAAGCGGGAATGAGCCTTATATATTTCTGAATTCCCAACTGCCTATAGGCGTCTGTGTGGTTTAAATCATTTCAACCGGTTCTAAAATCTTACCGGTCTCACTTGTTAACAAGTTAAATAAATCTTGTCGAGATTCATTTTATTCCTGTGTGGGAGTCAGAGTTTGTCTTTTTAAAAAATAATTGAATAGGTGGTTTTAAAAATACTTATGCCTGCTGAGGGAGGTGTGCACACCTGTAATGCCAGCACTCGGGAAGCTGAGGCAGGAGGACTGCTGCATATTCAAGGCCTGTCTGGGCTACATGTGAGACCCTATCTCAAAAAAAAAAAAAAACAAAAAAAAAAAACCCCAAAAAACCAAGCTTATGCTCAACCCCACTATAGACAAATTAAATTCAAAACTCAGTGGGGAGGCCCAAACAATTACATTTTTGGAGAGGGGCACCAGGAATCAAACTCAGGACCTTGCACTTGCCAGGCAGGCACTGTGCCGCTGAGCTACGTCCCCTGGCCCACGATTATGCTTCCTTAAAGTCCCGTAGGTGTTCTAAAGCACAGATGGAGTTGAGAACTAGGAATGAAGGAGAACAGGACAGGAGGAACGCAGGAAACATTTACTGAGCCTCCACAGACCGGACGAACCCTGAAGTCCTCTCAGCCAACTCTTTCCAAACCCCTGAGGTTATTACCCACTTCACAAGTGAGGAACCCGAATCGGCAAGCTGCAGTAACGTACTAAGGCCACAGGCCGGGCAGCCCAAGCCTGTCTGATTTTACTTCATCTAACGGCAAGCAGTCATCAGACGGCAAAAGCAAACGAGGCTTGAGGGCCGGAGGTAGCTCAGGGGCACGGCCCCAGATGGGGAGGTCCTGAGTTTGAGTCCCAGTACCAAAAAAAAGGGGAAAAAAGAAAAAAAAAAAAAAAAAAGCACCAACACTTATGGTCAGCCCCCTGTGGGCAAGGCAACGTGGAGGTCACCCTGTGTCCCCGACACACTGTGGCCACCTTACAGGATGTCACCCTGTTCCCAAAGTCCCTGCGTTTGCCTCCAATTTGCAATTAAGAATTCTTAACACCTCTTGCCTTCAGACAAAAGAGAATTTCTCCCATTGGCTTTCTTGTGGAATATTCCAGGTAAACACCAGGATTCTGAGTGGGCGTCCTGCCTGCCCCTCCCCCTCCACGCCCCGGCCCCCAGCGAGAACCACCCTGCAGCAGCGCCTGACGGACACCCCCAGCCTCCCAGCCCCTGCTCCAGGACAGCGCCCTCAGGGTGCCCCTTCCAAGACGGCACTGGACACTTGCATGGCGGGGGATTCTCTGGAGGCGCATCTGCCTGGGAAGAAGATGGGGTTCCCCTGGAAACAGGACTGGGGGGGTGCTCCGAGCATCCTCTGAGAATCTCCTGCCAGTGAGCCGCACCGGGCACTGCTGGATGACTGAGCCTCAGAGGGAATTGGCGCACGCACATCAGCAACTGCAAAACCTGCAAGCCAGGGACTGCCGGGGACGCTTTATGGCCTTCATTACCTGCACTAAGGAGCAAGGGGAAGATGCCAGCGTGCGGATTTCAAATCTAAGAAGCCACTGGGTCCCCGTCAAGCCCTATTTACTGCACACCTGTGAAGGACGGCAGGCTGCCACAGAGTACCTGCTAAGGAAAAAATTACTTCGGCTACTGCAGTTCACTCTCCATAGAATTAGGGGGCTTCAGGCCGGGAGAGACACAGAGACGGGAAGGGTCAGCGCCAATCTGGGCAGGCACAGGAGGGCTGCCATCTAACTGCCCAGCAGGAGGCAAATTCTGCCAGGAACAAGAGGCAGGGTCAACCCCTCACCACCAGAGGGGTCACCCTGCCAGCTCCCTGGAAGTGTCTGCCCCTTCCTTCCCATCCAGTCAGACGATGGGAGGAGTCTGCTCAGTTCCCGGCAGGGCAGTGTGGGGCACAGACCCTAAACACGCCCCGGCCGTCCCCGGGGCTCACACAGGGAACCCAGAGAATTGCTAGGGAAGGGTGTGGCGCGGACCAGGGAGAGGAGGCTGAGCAAGAGATTGGGGATGTGAAGGGGACACCCCCAAGCCAACAGCTGGGACAGCCTGCTGGGGAGGGAAGGCACAAAGGGAAAAGCAGCCCGGGAATGAGGCTGCTTCCCTCCTGAAAGGCTGGCTTTTCCCTGGCAACAAAACCCAGAGGAAAAAGCTGACCCACCACAGAAGACACTCCCTCGGGCTCTGAAGCCTCGATGACTAAACCGTAAGAATATCAATTAAGCCGCACAATTACACAGCACCAGCTCCAGGCAGACCCTCCGAGGAGCAGCAGGAATTAAGTAGCAACCAGGGGCTCTGCCCTAGAGCTGGCATTTACAGGGCCAGGTGGGCAGCTGTCAGGCCCTGTGCCCTCCGGACACCAGCAAGGCTGAGATGGAAAATCCAGGCCAGGCAGGCAAGGTCCCCCTGATCTGCATGCCCCCACCACGAGGCTAGAGGGACAGTTTCTGGGATATCAGGTTCCACACCCCCGACAGAGGTTATCATGGTGGCACCCGCCCAGATAACCCCCGATAAGGTGGCTTCCTCCTGCACCTTCACCTGGTCCCCAGTCCTGAGGTCACTGTCTGACGGCTGCAGGCACTGGCAGAAGGTGCCGGGGAGACACCCTTGTGCTTCTCCCCAGGCCTGCAGGGACCCTGCGCCTCCAGCTGCAAACTCAGCCACTGTCCCTGCGGCTTGGGGTGAGAACAGCTCCCCACGACAGTGTGTCTCCGGGGGCGCCCGATCCCTGCGGATTTCCTGGGTCTCAGCCCAGCTGGGAATGGAAGCCTCCCACTTACACCTCCCGAGCCGGACCCTCCTTCCTGCCGGGACTCTGCCTATGCGCCGGCTTCCTCACAAACACCTGCACGCAGATGATTCCCAACTCACGGACTGCAAACCAAGAGCAGAACCTGCCCCCCGCCCCTTCTGCTCAGATCCCTGGGTGACATCTGTGTCACCAAGGAAGTGTGACCCCCTCGCATGCAGTCAGGATGCCTGTGTCCTGTGACAGCCCTCCGGGACAGAGGGTCCCAATGCTGCCACCCCTAAGATGCTGCCTTGAAGGGGCTCAGTGGGTGGGGCAGTGGGGACATCCCGGTCCCCTACACAGGTGGCAGCTGAAAGAGGTGGGGTTCAGCCTCCGACTCTGCTGGCCCTGGTGGCGTGACCTTGGCTAATTCCCCTGACTCTGTGCCTCAGTTTTCTCCTCTACAGGTGGGAATAACAAGGCATCCTCATGCCTCAGCCTCCTAAGCAGCTGGGCTCCTAGGCCTGCACCACCACACCCGGCTGTACCCGCTGCTTCTAAAGGCCAAAACCTGGCCCGGCCATCCAGGAAGTGTGTGTCTCCCCGATCTCTGAACTCTCCCCCCAACTCCGTGCTGGGTCCCCTTAAAAGCCCCAGGCCCTGTTTTCTCTCCTGACAGCTGCTGTGCACAGGGTGATGTGGGCCTGGGGATGATGGTGCCGGCCTTGGGGCCCTGGGTTTC